TGTATGTACCTCTCGGACTCTGTCTAATATGATAATGAAGACAATTTATTGGCGGACATTCCAGGGAAACACTCAGGGACATACCAGATATACCAGACATACCATAAACATTCCATAGACAGACCATAAACAGTCCATTTGACATACCATAGAATACCATAGACATACCATACACATACCATTAAGAAATACCATAGGGACATACCATATACTTAAACTTACCAGAGACATACGGAAACACATACCAGAACACATACCAGAGAAAACATACACAGAGGAAAAACATACCAGAGAAAACTTACAAGTGAAACATACCATAGACATTCCGGAGACACATACCAGTGATCTAAACTATAGATTCTGGATACATGTTGTACCACTTCCAATTGAGTTAAAGATGATACTGTATCCTCTAATTAGTTGTCCTACTTAGTCATGACGTAAGCTGGAGAACCCTCGTTGGCTGCTGTTAGCAATCGGTCCTTTTTTCGACGCCTTTCTCCAACAGTAGTGTAGTATTAGCCGATATGTCTTTTAGAGGATTCACTTGCTATAAATAATTTGTAAGTAGGTATATGATATCCCCAGGGACAGTGTATGACGGTTCCACCTTGAAATTTGTCATTCACTTTTGTGTAGCCTCGCCCTTCTGTCCTTGTAATTATGATGTAGCATAGTCTTTAGCAACCGTAGTTTCTATTTACACTCTATCTGTCACTTTACAGTTTCTCTCAGGGTTACTTTGGTTCAGACAATATTCTTCACCTGATTACCATTCCTCCTTAATAAGGTCTCACCTCTAATTAGTAATTATTCCACTTGATCTAATCATTACAATCAAGCATATTGACTGTATCAGTGTTTGTGCCACCTTGTGAAAGATATATTCACGCCAGCCACCTGAGGTTGCACTTGGCAAGCAATCTTCTTTTAGTTCTCTCAGAGGTAGTGTTTGCGCAGTGTACACATTATGAGGATCCCCCGTTGTGTGATTTGCTTGCCAACTGTTCCTCAGTATTTCCTCTGTTATTTTCTCATAGCTGTCGGGGAGTTTCAGTAAAGTCCGGGGGAGTGCATGTTTTGATTTTTGACGCTGGTAGATTCTTGTCTTATGTATTACACATGCGACATATTATTCTTTATTCATTTATGTCAAAAACAATAAACATGCTCCCCGAGAAGTTTATATGTATTATTTAATACTGGTGGCTCTTCTATGTAGTTTCTTTAACTCGTTTGACATATCACTTAAACAACATTGCACTATATTTTGTTCATATTTCGCTCTGCGGCAGATTTTAATGTATTTGAACTTGCGTGACTTCCATCAGTTTTTTCAGTTCTAAGTAGGGCGTGACCTTGCGATTAAAGCCAGCTTATTAAGAAACCTCTGATGACCTGTACATCGGAGAGAGGAGAAGAGCTTTAGTCAAGTAGTCAGCTCTAATCTTAATTGCTCCATACGTGCTCTCCCCTCTAATGAACGGTGCTCTAACTTGAGTTTTTCTCGTGGCCAACACTAGTCTGCATTGTTCATGTTCAGTCTATCTCTTTAAAATAGGTGCTGCTGCCGCACCAGTACTGTTTCCATCGTCGGGGCCGGGTTGTACTGACTCTTACAATATCTAGTGTGCAAGGGGATGGATCTACCACCTCGTTTTACTAATTTTCTGTCCGTGTGTTCTGTCTTCTGACGACTTGTTGGCTAGTCTGAAAGTGTGCTCTTTTGGTTCGTAGACTGGTCGACCTTTGTGTAGCATGGTTTAACATCAAGTCTTTAACATATATTGAATTAGATTATGCAGAAATTGCTAGGATCAATGGTTTGGTTTGGTACTTAATAGTTTTATACTTTGTCACAGTTAGTTCAGTTGGTCAGCTTTCTGTTCCTGGTCTCTGAGAAAAATTATTTACTACTGGGTGGGAGTACAGTTAAGTTGATACAACGCCATCAGTCTGTACTCTGTATAATGTTTTCAGGATGTGGCGATATTTCGGTAAGTTGTACAATATGTCGCGGATATTTTCGACACAACTGTAGTAAAAATTAACGACTATATTCAGGTGTTAAATGTCATTATGTCATCGCTCGTTTGAAGAGATGCCCACAATACAGCGACAGACTCCGTGTACTTGTAAACATCGTTTGTTGTTGCTCATCCGACCCGGGCAGAGTGGAGCTAAACGAGCTGTCTAGAAGGCAGTGTAATTACCAGCTTCTTCTCTTTAAAACTCCGGGCAATTTGCCAGCTTCTGCCTGAAATGTGCGTGTGTCCAGCTATATATGTAGTGACCCACCCTCATATTTTATATATGAGGAAGAACTGCCCTCGTTCACTTTCCTAGTGGTGGTATCTCCTGCGTTGTTTTGCGGTACGGTGCTAGTTCATGTGTAGCCGCTCCTAAAATACTTTCTATATAGCTGGTATAGAGGTGATGTTAAAAATCTTTCTGTTCTCGTTGTCTTCATTTAATTTATTCCTATTCGTTTCACGAAATCAAATCCATTTTGGCCTTTCAGTTTGTTTAGTTTGATGCGGACGTGTCTTGCAGCACAAGTCCATGATAATGATGGTACTTACTGCTTGTGTGACATTATACCTTAGCACAGAACATTTACTGAGCATCCGTATCAATTTTTATGCCGTTTAAGTTTTTGTTAACAAGAGGATAAATTGAAGGATGATTGTTCAGTTGACCTTGCAAATTTTCTGCGTGTAAAATATTTTGCTGATGATCCCTGCACTACCATGTGGTATAGACTTTGATGGTTTCTAATTTTAGATATGTCTGGTGTTTCAGCTTCGTTCATATTTCTGTTTACGAGTTATTATTGTGTTACTTCAAAACAGTCATCGCTGTTTTTTTACTTATTCTGGTTTCATTGGACCGACTAGGCAGGTAGGCATGGGTTTGGTAATGCATTCCATCGGTGATTGTAATCGTCATGTATCTAGGGTCTTCTACCAGAGGTTTATACATACATTATGTTAGCTGTACGTAACATTTATAATCCACCCGCTGGACAACAGTCGTGATAAGTTAAAAAGGTTTTTAAAACTAAAAATTTAGTGTGTTCCTCATAGAAAAAAAAAAAGCCAATAGAATGTCTCTACCGGTCTTTATTTTGAGTGAGCGAATCACGCCTAGGCTACATGATGTGTGTACTCGTTGCTTAATCATTTAGCGTTAACATCACCGTAACGAGGTACACCCTTTAAAGTGGTCTTACGTTTATTGGATTAACTTAATTACACGGTTTCGCATTTCACTAAATTATTTGCCAATTCTCCCTCCATTTTAAATGGTTTATTCCTGAAACCATTTGCCCCTCTTAAACACTTTTTACTATTCGGATCTAGCGGTAATTATGGAAGAACTGTCGACTTTGTTACTGAGATCCGATAGGATCATGCAGAACAAGGGAAAGCCAGTGAGCGGACGGGGAGTAGGGTGAGTAGCCCACTTTGCGGAAACATTCCTCGAAGCAAAAAAAACTCGTGTGTCGAAAGGAAGGAGATAAGACACCAGCACCAGGAGCAGCACCAGAGCGGGATTCCTGGACTTACTTCCACACAGTTGGGAATTACAGCCGTCAATCTTTCAGTTAACTACACCTGCCTCTTCCGTTGTGTATCTTAATATCGACACTTGTAATATCTTTGATTAGTACCTCCTTCGCGTACGAGGGACCTGCACCAGGCTAAGTTGGTTCGGTTTCGTTAGCTGACCCGAACTTTTTCATCTCCAGAAATCGTTGCTACAGATCACAGCCTAGTATTCTAGTAGTGGTAGTGATCACTCTTCAGTCCCAGGCTGTCAGAACCTCATGTTGTTATAAACACCCTCATCAGACTGTTAAATGAGAGGCAGCACCTTCCTCCTAAATCTCAGCTCCCGCGGGACACGCTTCGCTCAAAGAAATGGATGATGGATGGGTAATAAATCGTTGGGAAAGAACCCAATCAATAGCCATTCATGGCGGAAAAAGGAAAAACCTATTCTCCAATGGACATCCGAAGGACTCAATCTGACAGCCCAGATGAACAAAACAAAGTCAGGTAAACCGAGTGGAGGCTCATTGGGATCCTCAAACGTTGCGCTTTCTCCCATTATATTCCCGTAAGAAGTAAAACCACAAAGCAGGAGGATGACACCATGGGTAGTGATGAAGAAAGTAACTGACAGAGACAGTGTTACGATCCCTATAGTCAATGGAAAACAGGCTTTCCCGCCTAACTCTTGTTCGGAGTTAACAGGGAAACAGGAGGGACGTATAATGAATGGTGTTGCTGTGTTCGAGGTCTGGTGCAGTCTCGGGTTCACCGAGAAATTCTAATTCATCTTCCATCAGTGCAAAAAAAAAAACGGAACTCTAAATTGTTTGAGGAGTCTTGGGGTCACCAAAAGAGAGGAAAGCAAGTTGACAGGAGATGGGCTAACCTATTTCGAGTGAAGTCCCTGTATGTCCAAAAACAAGTCTGAGCAGCTGCCAGACCAAGTCTTGAATCTGTCAGCTTAAGAAGTAACCCGGGGTTCTATCATGCCCAAATCTTCTCCCGAATAAAGATCGCAACTCAGAGCGACGTTGATTCTGGCACTTCCTTCGATTGAGAGTGTTAAAAGCAAATTCAATGTCGTCACGGTCTACACCCAAACTTTGATCACGTGAGACAGTCGTCCAATTCGATGTTCATCTCGTAGGAAACTCTCAAACGGTTAACTACAGTGCGAATATCAGTCACGCGAAAAGACATTGTAAAAACCAAAAAGCATTAAAGCATACCAAAACCCAAACTTCACCGGTCAACAAGGTGCACAGAATGTAACAATCCTCCTAAGTGCAGATGTGCAGGCCAAGGCCACTGTGACCAAAAGTGTGTTAACGGAGACCCAGAGTTCAGGTTAGAGGTGTGTACGCGGAGGGGTCCAATATAAGGATGGGAATCTCCGGAAATAAACAATTGATGGCTCAGATATAACGATTGAAGCTGCCTATAATGGTGACGTGGAATCTTGATAACGATTTGGATACGACGATGGTGGAACAGGCAACAGAAAGTAAGCAGCATCTCTGACTGAGATGGCAGGACTTTGTTAAAACGGTACAGTCCACCAAAACAAGGAAAATACAGAGGGAGCACCTTCAAAGAAAGTTAAAAGAAATTCAAGAAAGAACTTGAGGGATTACATGCTCAGGTTAATCAGAAGATCGGAGGAAATCAAGGACAAACGAAACTCAGGACGTTTTAGTAAGATTTGTGATCTTTTATTATATGAGAAAAATCCTGCTGTAAAATCAACAGTTCGTGCGGACCGGTGACTTTCGTCAAATGTCGTAAAAATTCTGTACAGTGTGTGGTCATTTGTCAAAATTTACAGAACCCTTTAAAAAAAATCATACGGGAACAAATCTTTAGGGTTTTAATGAAGCAAACATAATGCTTTATCAAGTTAAATGGCCTTGTTCGAATGATTTATTTGAGGTATCGACTGTTAGAGCAAATAATAATCCATTTACTTGATAAATCAGAAAATGTTTCGTCCCAGTGTAGAATAAGAATGAAAGTAAGGCCCCACTTTTTGAACCCAAAACCAAAATTTAAAAAACAATTAATTTGAATATAGATTAATTTATTAATAAATCATGTATGATGAAATATGAGTAGCGATTTCTTACTCTCTTTAGCATCATGGGTCGATTTGTTTTTAAAAAGCCAATATAATGAATGCTGTATCTAAAATATTTCTTTCATTATTTTCAATCCCTAAGCAAACGATGAATTCAATTAGAACTGAAAAACTATTGATAAAGGGCCACTTAGTGATGAGAAATCAATTTATTTATTCGTGTTGATCTTTTAATCTTTTAAAGCTTTTCTCATAAAATCTTACCTTTTCAAACTGTCCCATATGAAACTTGAAAAACTTTATGGGATAACTATTCGTCGTATTTGGAATTCCGATCTTTGCATAAATATATTTACGTACCATTTTCGGGCTTTAGTATTGACGATATATTTCGAGCGAAGTTCATCTTTTAGCTCAGTATTCATGATATTTTTGGGATGAATAGTTCTAACACTCTGAATATAAGTTATATCTTAAAAAGCGGTGTTATTCAATTTCAAATTTATTATTTTATTATCTGCACAAAACGACACGAAAAAAAGTGAACACTGCTTGTATTGAATAGCCTGGGACTAAGCCCCTTCACAATCTTGATTTCAACATTATTATTGATCAACCAATGATACTTCGATGACTTTTTGCATCAAAATTTTATCATAAGTTTTATAAAAATTCTATCAACATAGTTATGATGTTCATCAACCCTTCATTATTGATCAAATACCTTAAGAAATGACAAATTTAGTCGACATAAATTTAGTCAAAATTTGATTGTTGTATAACCAAATTTATTGAGACTACATTTTTCGGAACTAATTTAAAAGCAGACCAAAATTTCGGTAGAGCATATATGGATTATGAATATTATGCTGCTGCTGAAAACTACTGCTGAACTACTTTAACTATTACACGTGTAATCCACTGCTTATATGCTTTTCACTTTCTCTTACTTCACATTTTCCATCCAGGCAGTATCTGCATCTAGTTTTAATTCATGAATTCAGTGAGTTAAATACTAGAATGCAGATACTTCATGAAGTAATTATGTGATAACGCCCCTTTCTAGAATTTTAGCTTTTCCTAAACTAATGCAAAAAACTGCATCAAAAAATATTTGTCCGAGCAAGATAGTTCACTATTTAAAAGTTACTGTGGATGAATATGGGATAGTTAAAACCGCTGCTTTGTGTTATGGAAACATTAAAATAAAAAGGATGGAAAATGGTCTCGAAAATCGAAAAAATGTGACTAAAATTGTTGTAGACTAAAACTTTGCGAAAATCTAGTGATTAAAAATGATGGTAACTTGTTAAATGTATTGGCCGTACGGTAGTCTCGATTCAAATTTGAATCGATTCGATCAATATTTATTATTTTAAAAACGTTTATCTCCAGTTGCACATCGTTGAAAAAATTTAAATAAATGAGATATTATGGGAATAACTGCTCCCAGATTATATTAGTAGCGTTAACGTGTCATGCCAATGTGCACATGGTGATGGTAACAAATGTAACGTCCTTCGATCAGACACCTTGTTGAGAGTATTGATGGAAAACGTACTTTTTGATTGAATAATTACAGAATCACTATCACGTCACGTAACCGCACATATTTCTTTGAAGTTCACGCACACGCTTGTTTCGCCAATATTCATTAAATTACTACTGCAAATGCAAGCGACGATAAAGCTAATCTGTTAGGCATCTATAAGTTATTAATTTCTAAATATCACGTTATACCATATGACTGGCTCCAGATTAATATCAAATCTGAGAAGTAAAATTTGCATTATATTTTCTTAAATAAGCAAATTCTGGAAAACTCCTACAACGAATAAACTGCAAAATCGTAGTATTATTGGACTCATGTGATTTTAAAAAACCATCAACTATAAAAACTGTTAAGCTGGTATCATAGGATTTTATATATCAAGACGGGGGATGGAGGTCATTCGTAGTAAGTTGAACTATTGAACCAATGATACTTTCGACAGGTGAGACGGCGGGCACCCTGAACAAGTACTCAGACGAGGTGTTCTACCAAGACTGTCGACGAGAGTTTAACACTACTTTCATCAAGCCCGACGCGGATGACTATTACAAGGAGATCGAAGTAAGGATCAACCTGAGGGCATTGCTGTTGTACGGAGGGAGGCACCAATGCTACCTGAGTCCGACAGGTGAGGCAATATTTGGAACAAATACTGTTCTCTTGCTAGCTTCAAAAAGCTCATTATTATACTATTGGGTTTTAAACAGAAAACTCATCAAATCTGACACGAAATTCAATCGTCGAATGCATCCTTACCTGCTTGGTTGTGTTAAGTCTTATTCACGACTCCAAAATATAATGTTTTTATGGGTACTGGAAGACACAGTCTTCAGGGTGACATATAGTCAAAAGTATACCATGCACTTAATACCGGCAAAATACATTTAATCTTAATGTTCGGTTTATAACCATGAAACGTATCATTGTTGCGAACGATAAACAGAGTGGCCGAGCTATCCACTGTAAGGCTTTTAGGACGACTTATTATCAATGTTTGATTGGGGAAGTTGGTCGTTTAGCTCCGGACAGTCTATGCACGGTCCCTGCACGGTCCATGCAACAAACAAAGAACACTCCATGCACGGTCCCTGCACAAGAACACTTGATGCACACTCCTGCACGGTCAGTCCCAGCACATCCCCTGCAGGTCTATGCACGGTGCCTGCACAGTAACATATGATCAGGTACTAGCCGGCTAGAGCCACTTTTGTTTAATAAACAGCTCCTCAACTTCACATTACCAAACGGCTACTAACCGCTCACTTGTATAAAAGTGGTCACTAGCCGGCTACTAATGGGCTACTAGCCGGATCTGACCACCAAAAAGGCTACTACCGGCTACTAGGCGGTCACTAGCCGGCTATTGGTGGCTCTAAAAGCAGACCTACTTTATTGAGGTTCCAAACCGGCTACTAGTCGGCTAATAGCCGGCACTTGAAAAGCGGTCACTAGCCGGCTACTAGCCGGCTACTAACCGGTTACTAGGGCGGTCACAGCGGCAATTAGCTGAGCTTAAAGCAGACCAACTTCTTGAGGTTCCAAACCGGTACTAGCCGGCACTTGGAAAAGCGGTATTAGGCCGGCTACTAACGTTGTGTGCATCAAGTGTTCAATTGTGCTGGAACCGTGCAGGGACCGTGCATAGACTGTCGGAGCTAATCGACCAACTTGCCGTTTGATTGTTGCTCCAATTAAAGTTTCACACTTACTACACCAGAAATTCAAAAATTGAAAGAATTTTATTGCCACTTGCAATGCAAGGGTTCTGATATTTTAAAACGTTGCTGACATCTTTATAAAGACTGTCAAAGCCTGAATTTTGCAGATCGAAGGGCATTTAAACACGGTAAGCATTTGTGAACTATGTCTGCAATTACTCCAGAACCACTTAAAGAGTTTTAAAGTGCTATTCGACCGCTCCATAGAATAGTATTCAAATTAGTCTAGTCATAGGATGCTTGAAAACTGAAAGATGCATTGAGAATAATTAAATGGCCGATTGAACATGTTATATTCACCTCAATTGATACTATTCTTTAGTTCAGCGTTTCTGTATGGGTATCACATAGTTGTTATCATAATAAGAATAATGCACTGATAAGAATATTGCACTGATATAAACAATCCACTCTCAGGGTCCAGGAAGGAATGAGGGACGAAACTACGATCACCGGGGATGAAGAGTGTACTGTGGACAAGGCCGTTCTCCAGTCGATCTACGGAATCACAGTCCTTCGCATGTCAAGCAGTAAAAAGCAGGCCCTCTCGAGCGTTACCGACACTGCGGACAAACTAAATCGTCTAAAAGTATTGAAACTGCGATCCTTTATCATCGAAATCTGTGCCAAACCTGCACGATACTTATTAGCGATAGCGAGGATAGCTTTACGGAAACTAAAAACAACTCTGGTGTCCAGTGCAAGGTGTGTGGAGACGGCAAAGTTAAAGCGGGGCTATCACCGCAGTACTGGTAACAACCTTCCCATTCACAAGAAGCTATTCCGCTGCATATATAAAATTTTTACGAAACAGAAAAGCTCTAGCTCTGTGAAGCTGCTTGATTTAAATAGGTTCATTCCAAGATGGAGGGAAGAAAACGGCGGATAGTGCTTGATCAGAGGATTCAGAATCTCTTCTTGAACACGGGATGTTAGTGAGAGATCTGAAACACTGCTAAGCAGGACAATTTTAAAATATGATAAGAGGTCTTGAGACCCCGTGAATTTTAGTGAATGTCAGTAAATGAGTCACACCGTTCTTAGTTAAAAATAGTGATTTTGATTTTTCTTCTATATATATTTCAATTTTCAAGTGTTACTGAAACTTGAGCTTGATTCTTGGATTGTTTCCTTCGTAATAGAGCAATGAATCATTGTAAATTTTTTCATGGTGTGAATTAAATATCATTATCATTTCGAAAGAAAAGGATCGCTAATTTATTGTCACAAGGACTTATTGAACACCAATGACCTCGACCCCTTAACTACATCAAAAATACAAAATATATGTTTAGTGGATTAAACGAGGCTTTTATAATCACAAAGGTTGCTCTTATTACTGATGGGACAAATCACATGATATTGATAAACAAGGAAACATGCCCGAAAAAAAAACAAACCTCAAACTGGGGCTGATCTTCATTAATGGATCGCTCAATGATAATATTTGATAGTCAAGGGAAATATGCTGAAAACAATGTTACACTACCTGCTGTACGTGCATTGCAAGTTCCAAAAGTATGCCCAGCATTTCATAAGACATAGTGCCTGGTAGTCAGGCAAGAGTTTTGTTTACATGAAACTGGCAATTGGCAGCTTACAAGATCAAAAACAAACGTACGTTTGTTGGAGTCCAACATCTTAAACAAGGGTAAACTTATTCATGTTCACAAATAATAATCTACATTTTCCGACTTCAGCGGACACACACTCTTTGACTTTATTAGGGCTGATATGGCATACTACTATAGTAGTTGTATTTATGTTTCAAAAACAGATTTACATTTGCTTGCATGATAATGATTTATTCGTCGTAGAAATTAACATTATAAATGAATGTATAAATGGGTGGAACGAAGCCGAACGGATGGAAACGGTTATGGATACTTTACAGCTTGAAGTGTAATTATTAGATTGAAAGTTTAACAGTAATTAAGGAATCATTGTGCGTTATTGATGAAATTGAATCTTAATTTGCCACGTTTGCAAAGTGAAAGAAAGTGACAACTATTTATATAAGCTGGACGTGTCTTGTTCGTCTGCTTATCTTACATAGAAAGATAAAAGTTTGTTCTGGTATCCTACATAGTGTGACTAATGACTTAGTCATCAAGATAATGACATATTTGTCTAATGTTTGATGAGGCAACTAGTATAATTTGCCTCGTTTAAAGTTTTTTACTATTGTCCGTAAGTAAAACGGACAACTCTAACTCTAAAAACGTTTATCCTTCCGCGACAAAGTCAGCGTTTCTAAACGGCCCTACAACAAATTGTTCCGAACACACGAATAGTTTTTGGTAACGCATTCTATGTTCGATGTTTCTAGCCCTTGGGATTCTGTGGCAACGACAATAAGAATGGGATCAGGGATACGCTCATACTGACAGCTGAAGGTAATTTCTTGAGTAGTATGCGATTGATACAATTTGATCACAGTCTATTTTGCCGCCCATTGGTTAACGGGTGATAACTAGTTAAATATATGTTCATGTCCAAAACTCGGGCGCGCGTCCTGGTAGGTTATAAACCTACACCCATTGTAAATGTATGGAGAGCCCCTAATCAAAGAATCTCCACATCTTCCTTAAGGGCGCCGCAAACAACACATGTGGTCGGATACATACTAAACATTTTTGCACGTGATACGGGTTGCTTCCTGAAACAGTGAGAGAGCTAGAACTAAGCGAGCAATAGACTAGCTAGTAGGTACTCATTAAAAGCTAGGAAATCAAATCCAAGCATACGGCAAGTTTGATCAAAAGGTAGTTGAATTCTATAGATAACTTGAACTATATTAAGATTATTATCTACCATATTTTCATGTAAAATTATGCCATAAGTGATAAGGAAATCAAGTCATCTATATTTTGCTCACCGCTCAAGACAAGAACAAACAAATGGATAGGTCATTCTCATAGGCGCCTCGGATCGAGTGGATAACCTACTACCAGAACTTAAAAGCAAAGAAGCTATTAATATAGTCAAGTACTCCAGCAGCAGGTCTTTTCGCTACTCAATATGCAAGGTGCCTGCATGGCTCCGCTAAAAGTAAATTTCTCACCCCCATTTGAACAAAAGTTTATTTCGTATAAAGCCTTAGCTGATAAGCTATGGCCTAAGGGTATGAAAACATTCTTCATCAATGTGTTTTGGACGCTGATTCGGATCAAACAAGCTACATTAACACTCACCCCTCGGCCCCCCCCCAACCCACCATGGGACTCCTAATCGTCCATGATCACTGCAGGTGGTTCCATGTTAATAATAAAGAGTTAGCATTCTCAGCTTATTCGTTCAGTGTGTACGGTGTTTTCATTCTTCAATTCCTGAATTTACATTTACAATCAGTGATGACGATAAAAAATATGCGAAATCTTCGGACATCATACGTACGTGTCATTGGCACGCCGCGCAATCTCCCAATCATGCTTTACATTACAGTGCCGACTTGCCCTACCTATATATTTTAAATATAACGCTTGTATTATATACCGCCCCCACTTTCCCCATTCGAGTTAGTACTTATATACAACCTATGACCCGCGCGCAAAGCGGTATCTTGTACCTACTGTCAGTGGTGTAACGATAGGCCCTGCTGACCCCGCTGTGCAGGGGGGCGCCGTCTTAGGGGGGCGCCAAATCGTCGTTTGAATGTGGGAAAATTTCGAAAACTTAACTAAAGTACTAGCAAAACTGCGCGTTTTGCTCTAGATACACACTTTTTTAGAGATTTTACCGGCGTATTCTCTAAAATCACCTAATTTGTTCAATTTTAGGGAGGGGCACCAAAAGGGGAGGTTACGCCAACAGGGGGGCGCTTTTTTCGGCAGGGGGGCGCCAACAGGCAACGTTACGCCACTGCCTACTGTACCGGGGCAAATATTTGTAACAAATATTTACGGTTACCTGTATCATCCGTAAAACTAAAGCATTTACTGTGCGAACTTTGAATAAATCTTTTGTTTCAACACCGGCCCCATGAGTTTTATAATAATTGTGCTACAAATTTGGTAGACTACTGATCTAAATCTTTGCAATTGTTCTCGCGGCAGCGAGACGATGTTGACAATTATTCCATATTTAGAGGCTCACCCTCCCTCTCTCTCATTGTTGTTAAACAACTCTCAATCATAGCTGCACACACCTGTTGTACACATAATCTTAATACTGTTACGTTATAACCTTCTGTAATATATTTGCACTCCTCTTCGCCCGCGGCCCATATAGCACCTTCTTTTCTCTGATAAGTATAAGTGTAGTGCTCTCTAGTGCGTGATATTTGTAGTTCGGAGAGTTCAGCTCAGTGTCGGTGGAAACTTTGTCAGTTTGTGGTGCTCAGTGCCCAAGTCCGCTACCGCGGTTTTGAGGCGGGATGGTAAGAAGAAGTTAATGCGTTTATCAAGGGGGAACAAAAGAAATGATCTGTCCGGGGGGCTACTACGGATTATATTGTTGTGCACGTTTTGTTTAGTAGCTGCTGCTCCTCACAAGAGGGTCCCACGCACCCAGTCGGCAGATGTTAAAGCTGTCGATGGAAATCAGGCTGGTAAACCGGTGCCTGCAGTTGTGAAACCTGCTGTCCCCGAAAATCAGAAAGCTGCCGTTATCGACCAGAGTAAGGCGGATGTCGCGAAAGATACGGCCCAAAAACCTTCCGCACCAAATGGTGACAATAACAACAAAGAGGTTAATGCTGGTTCTGGTGATGAGAAACAACTTAAAACGGACACAGAGTCTCAAGACGGCGCAGATTCAAAAAAGGAAGTGAAGTCGCAGGAAAATGAAAAGGGCTCAGATTCTGCTAAACCAGAAACTGACACAGAACCTAAAGATGATAAACCTCATCCCAGTGTGGTGGTCAACAAGACGAACCTTCAAGAGATGACGGTGGTCAAAACTGATGGTGCAGCAAAATCTGATGATGACAAAACTGATGGTGCAGCGAAATCTGATGGTGACAAAATTGATGGTGTAGCAAAATCTGATAGTGTCAAAACTAATGGTGCAGCAAAATCTAGTGGCGGTGACAAAACTGATGATGCAGCAAAATCTGATAGTGTCAAAACTGATGGTGCAGCGAAATCTGATAGTGTCAAAACTGATGGTGCAGCAGAATCTGATAGTGTCAAAACTGATGGTGCAGCAGAATCTGGTGGCGGTGAAAAAACTGATGATGCTACAAAATCTGATAGTGTCAAAACTGATGGTGCAGCAAAATCTGATAGTGTAAAAACTGATGGTGCAGCGAAATCTGATAGTGTAAAAACTGATGGTGCAGCAAAATCTAGTGGCAGTGACAAAACTGATGATGCAGCAAAATCTGATAGTGTCAAAACTGATGGTGCAGCAAAATCTGATAGTGTAAAAACTGATGGTGCAGCGAAATCTGATAGTGAAAAAACTGATGGTGCAGCAAAACCTAGTGATGGTGAAAAAACTGATGATGCAGCAAAACCTTATGGTGGTGAAAAAACTGATGATGTAGCAAAACCTAGTGGTGGTGAAAAAACTGATGGTGCAGCAAAAACTAGTGGCGTTGTCGAAACTGATGATGCAGCAAAACCTAGTGGTGGTGACAAAACTGATGATGCAGCAAAACCTAGTGGTGGTGACAAAACTGATGATGCAGCAAAAACTAGTGGTGGTGACAAAACTGATGATGCTGCAAAATCAGGTGCTGGCGACAAAAAATCTGATGAAGAAAAATCTAGTGATGATGCAGAGAAATTAAGTGACGGCGAGGAAACGAAAGATGCTGGTAAAAACAGTGAAGTTGTATCCGTGAGCGAAGATGAACTGAAGAAGAATCCAGCATTCGATGTCAACAAACTGTTTCCAACAAAACCTCCTCCCCAACCCGCCGATCATAAGGTACAACTAAGTTTCTTTGATGATCTGATCAATTTTTAAAATAAACTTATCGAAAGAAAATAAAACTTTAGTTTCTCAGGAGAGTTAGAATTAACCCAAATATCAGGGACACGAATGACTACTCCAGGATTTAAGAATTTAAACTTTCAACACTGAAAACATTCAGATTCTTGCCAAATATATTTCGATTGTAGTCATCTCCAGTGACATTGAACCTAAAAAATGTTAAAAGGTTAGTGAAACTCAAACCGTTACAAAATTAAGAATCCGAAAAAGGTAAAAAGATCATATTAAGGTTTATGGAATATAGGTAATCCAAAGGGATTGACAGTATTAAGGCCAAAAGGTCTAAGAGAATTAAGCAAATGTATGTAGTTATTTTCTTTTACTTCAAGTGTACTGGGACTGCAATTCTCTAAAATAAAAGTTCTAAAAGTTTCATTAAAATCTGTATGTACTCCTAAACCGTGGTCAATCAAGTGAACTCCTAGGCTATACTCATCACTAGTAATATAAAATGCTCTACCATCAACGATTTCATAAAATTTGGACCTGTGTCCGTCCATCCTTTTATGCAAGCTATTAATAGTCCTACCCACATAGTTTTTCTTGCAAATCGAACACTGTACAAGATAGATGATGTTATAGGTCTCGCAACAACCAGGGGCTGATTTGATCTTTTTGCCATTTGATGTGATGGAGTCCTTATTCATGATCATTTTACAACACTTGCAGTTTCTTCTGTGACAGGGTTCAGTTTTACCATGTTTAGCACCTAAGGCAAGCTGTTTAGATGTAACGAGGCGAGATCTAAGCGTAGATCCCGTTTTCTTCACAAACTGAAACAGTTTATTTTTTTCTTTCGGTGCTGTGGTGGAGTTTGTGGCTTGCTGACTCTCACTTTCACTAAAACTACGAGTTCGTCTCAAGTGACCTTCGTATTTCTGGACAACATTCACCAAGTCATTGTCACTTCCATAACTGGAGATGACTCTGATTGGTATGGCTGATAGCGGGGATTGTTCATTAGGCTCGACCGTACTCTTCCTGACTAACACTCTTTCCATGCCAAGGACTTTGTTAGCTATGTTGTCAGCCATTTTACTAGGGTATCCTGATTCATGAAACGCCCGTTTGAGAATGTTAAGCTGGGTCTCTAATCTCTCCTTTGAATTGATTATCCTCCTGAGGCGTAAACACTGGGAGTATACAATTCCTGAGAATATGTGATTGGGGTGACTACTGCTGAAATGTAGGTAGGACCTGGAGTCTGTTTCTTTTACGTATAGATCAGTTTGAAGCTCTCCTTGATGGTCGAAAGTAAACTGTACATCTAGAAAACTGACATATTCAGCTGTATTTTCTGCTTGGAATTCATCTATTTCAAGGCCATCGGGAGCGATGTTTTCGTTGACCTTCTTTATCCATGCTGAAAACTGTCTGGTAGTACCTGTAAACTGACCTGCTCCGTCGTCAATGTATCTCTTAACAGATGCTACTTGGTCCATTAGTGTGGGGTTTGAGTAGACTTCCTTGTTAAGGACATAAAACACAGCGATGTTTGCCAGTTGAACACATAGAGAACCTCCAGTAGGTACACCGTGTATTTGTTTGTACCAAGCATTCTCGAAAAAACCTATAGATGATTTTAGGCTGTGGTTCACCAAGTCAATTAGCCAAGCTTTGAAGTTCATAGACCAGTCGGGTCTTAATTGGTCCATGGCAAATTTAAGAGCTTCAATGACAAGGGAGGGGCTGAGTGAGTCGTAAAGGCCCTTGAAGTCAAAAGTAAACGGTTTATATGTTTTCTTTTCAACTTGGGGCTTATTAGAGTTGATTTCGTCGAGCCAAATTAATGCATCTGTTGTGTCTGTAAGGAGGTCTTGGCAGAAGTCTTTTTCCAGGGGTCTTAAGTATTTCGTGGCTACAAACACATCACTCTTTTTACTGATACCTTCTTGAAGTGCTGTAATAAGTCTCACTGGCGGTTCAACTCCTGGGATAAGTTGGTCTTTCCTCAGTTTGTGCACTTTCAAGGAGGGGTAAAAGTAGCTCTTTCCCGGTTTATGGTGAGGAGCTGTACTTGGCCTGTTGGTCGGGCCTGTGCCTGCCTTATTTGTGTTGTCTGAAATACCCATCACAGACTTTGCTTCTTCAGGTGTAATGAAGCCTCTTGTCTTACCTTCGACCTTTTCGAACTTTAGTTTCTCTTCGGTTCATAATTATTTTTTAATATACACCTGTCTTTGGTGGAATTGGATGTATCATTAATTCTAGAAATCACCATTCGATTGTAATAAGATAAAGCTCACGACAACCAAATCTTAAAACTTTTTCGATGTGCAAATGAAGTATTAATTTAGCAAATTATTTGAATTTAACACAAGTTGACAAGTTCTCACATTTTCAGAAGGTTGAAACTGAGTTGCTGAAGGAAGAACCTGTTGTAGTCCTGGACAATACGACCGATAAAGCATCTGAAACAAAGGCTGTTGAAGGAAATTCAACCGATAAGAGCGAGAATACTGAAGCTGATAAAACAGTTGAAAAGCAAACAGACAAAGATGAATCAGATGACAAAGATTCTAACAAAATCGTTAACTTTGATGTCTCAAAAGGTTCGTCTGCAGATAAAGAGGTTAAATCTAATGATACTCCCAATAAAACTGCAGATGCTTCTAAAACTGCAGATGCTTCTAAAACTGCAGATGCTTCTAAAACTGCAGATGCTTCTAAAACTGCAGATGCTTCTAAAACTGCAGATGCCTCTAAAACTGCAAATTCTTCTAAACCTGCAGATGCTTCTAAAACTGCAGATGCTTCTAAAACTGCAGATGCTTCTAAAACTGCAGATGCTTCTCAAACTGCAGATGCTTCTAAAGATTCTTCAACAAATGGAGATGTTGCTAAAACGGGGGCTGATTCTAAGGCTGTTCATTCTTCTTAAAATTGGGTTAGTAAAGATTCCACTCTAACTTAGGCTGCCTCAAGTTGGGAAGTCCTCTGTTGACAGGTTAAATGTAATCTGAATCAGATGATTATTATAGTGAATGACAATATAAAGTCCAAAGAGGACATTTTACGGGTTTTTTGTGATCACTCACCTTGTCTTAATGACATTTGTAAATTGTGTTGTATTTCCCTTGGTAATTTTAAATCCCTGATTCATGCTTTTAAACAAACAAGATGAGCCCTCAGTACAGGGTACCTACTTCAAGCATGGTGTTTGATTTTTATTGATTGACCTCCTTTTTACTATCAAATGTAAGAATTTTTCTTTTAAAATGGTGTAAATTTCTTTTAAAATAGTGTAAATCTTTTTTTAGCGAAACTTTAACTGATGAAATAGGTCTTTAAAAAAATTTGTGACTATCGATTAGTTTTATTTCACCATGATTAGCTCGGATGTATTAAAAATGTTAGCCCTCAAATTCAATGACCACGATTTACAAAAATTTATAGAGTCCGCAAATTATTCATTATTCACCGGGCACGACTACCGCAGCAGTAAACACTACGGCAGTGGACACGATAGCGGATTACATAATACTCATTTTAACAAATACCATTTATAACAATTTGTTTTCGCTCTTTTGAGTGGGTCGATCATATAATTGATGTTTTGGAATAAAGTGAGAGTCTCCACTCAGTTTTTCAAACAAATAGTTATCGACGTTTCGGCCCACGCCTTTGTCATGGACGAGACTTACTGGGCCGCGCTCAGCCTGTCATTCCGCCTAATCTTTATGTTTATGAACATGATAGCCTGAGGTCCCCAGGTAATAAGGACGAAAAGTTACAATTTGAATTACGTTACATGGCTCAATAAATGTAATACTAATACAGTAATAGATTTGTAGTGTTGTACTTAGTTTCCTCCGAGTGGAAGTGGAATAAGACTTCAAAAAACTCAATCGTATCATAACCATTTATATTTAACTGACTAATTGGTCACTCGGCAAAAATTCCATTACTTGAAAATGGGACAGAAATGGAAGAATATGAATTTTCATTTTGTAAAGTTTTAGCTGTTGTATGCTTCCTCCGACTGGAATGATCAGACTTCCGGCACCTCGAATGTGTCATATGTCATCTATAACTATAAGTATATCATAGCTAATTGACTAGTTGGTTACTGGACAAAATTCAGTCAAAACTATGAAATTTCGGTTCAGGAAATTTCATCCCAATCCCTGAAAGTAGGATTATAATTAGACAAATACAATATGATTTTCCTTTTAGTGCAGGCACGTAGCCAGGATTTTTCTTTGGGGGGGCCTCGGCGAGCGAAGCGAGCCGACGCGATCAACTCAGCTGCGCAGCGAGCGAAGCGAGCAAGCTGCGGCAGGGGTCTTAACGGGTGATACTCGTAAAATATTTGTTCCGTCGACGAGTCCAGCTCGGCGCGCGTCCTGGTAGGTTGTAAACCTACAACAGGGGTCTGGGGGCGCAGCTCTCAGCGGGGTCAAGGGGCGGAGCCCCTGTGCGGGGGGGGGGGGGGGGGGGGGGTTAGGGGGCCCGGGGGGCAGCCCCCGGAAAATGTTTGAGAAAAAAGGTGTATTAGACGACATTTGGCATTAAAGAAATTTGTAGGACAGCAATAAACTGATACTGAAAAGAATCAAGTACTTACGTAAATTTGGTAACTGAACAACAGCAATCTGCATTCTCCAATCAGAATTTAGTTTTACGACTTGCTCAGGCCTCATCGTCTTAAGATTTTGACATTTCTTACGGTCTAGGCCCTGTGGTACTACTGCTCTTTAATTTTTCGCTGGAAATTAAGCACTAAGAAAATGCCAAAATGTCTTACCAGTCCCTACCGAACTCAGTACTTGCCACATTGAATGGAATAAGTACATGTATAAATATAATGGGATTTGGGAATAATTTACGAAATGGTGAAGTCTGCAATTGCCTGCCGTTTTAACAGTACAGACTGCAGTCATAAACACAGCCCAGTTACCAGGCGACCATGGGGACTAGGGGGCTTTTTTTTCTTCTGGGGTTCTATTTTTTTTTCTGGGGTTCAATTTCCCCCCACCCCCCCCTGGCTACGTGCCTGCTTTTGTGGTGCTTTCTCCGGCCCTTATCTAACTTTCAGTATTGGATCTCATGTCATTCATAATTAACTGATTGATAACTGAAGAGAAATTCCGTCCAAAGATTTGCCCTTCGGTACAGAAACGCTTACGATTAACTTCTAAATTTGGGTATCAGTAATCAGTATGCATGGAATCATAAGACAGCAATTTATCTGTGAAGTATACGGATAATAATCGTGTCTAGTTAAAACTTAAATATTTGGGTATACCTCACTTTAGGGTCCAGTCATTTCCTTTAGTACAATTGCACACTTGTATTTTTAGACAACATTCAACTTGCAATATCCTTTCTGTTGTAGTTTATATCGTCAGTATCAGTTTGTGTGATAATACGTCTTTATGTCCAGTATTAAATATTCTGGATTATTGTCGAGGTCAATTTTTGGTAAGCACTTAGCACAGATCAATAAACAAATACGTACGAATTTGTCACTGCAATATTTTCGCTGCCGTATATGATACGGCAATAATCTGATCAGGTTACGCTCCAATTTACATATAAATACGTCTGTAAAAAACAAACCCTTAAAAGAAAACATTTAAAATAAAATTGTGTGATATTGCATTGCAGTTGTCACGACTATACTTTGGCTTTGGTCAATACCTGTGATCGGAATGCAAGATTGTAACGAGAAGAAGACGACCACCTACGGGTCCGGCCAACTAAATATTACAGAAAATGAAGAAAACGAATTGATTTCAGTCATCAAATGTCAAGTCAAAGGCTTTGTAAGTTGACTTCTATTTTTATAACGTTTGCCTTAAGTAAACGGAGTTCCATCACTGTCAAGACTAGTTTTAGACTAACATCTGCTTTGTTAGATCCACACCCCGTTATATATTACTGCATTATATGCACCAAATTATGTTGAATATTTATACCAACACGCGAGGCCCGTCCTAAGGACCATACCGAGCTTTGTATTAACTTGCAATACATTTAAAGACGTGGAAGAGTCTCTTTTGGCCCACAAAATATAAAATTAGATAAGACTGCTGATATCGCATAATTGGATATTGGCCGATGAAAATTACAGCCGAGAGCTGACTGGCAAGTTAATTTGCTTTCCTTGTTACCTTGTTACCTTGTTAACTGCTTGTGAGCTGGTTGGGTCAAGTTTTCGGTTACTACAGCAAAGCTAATTATAGTAATATTAAGAAATAATTAAAAATCACGTCGGTATACAGTATACAGATTGGTAACGTAGCATATATATTACAATAATATGCTCGCAGCAATTTGTAAATGGTGTAAGACGAACAACAGGTTTAAACGTATTTGCAATGGACCAAGGATTGGGAATCACGGTGACTTGCAACGAGGAGACTGGGGCCTTGCACCCTAATATATTTGAGGATCTCAATGGGGATGAAAGAGTCTTGTACTGCGACGGTGAGTTACGGTTAACAAACCAAGTTGAACCCTCGGTTTATACCCAGTAAAAATCATGCGTAAACATATTATATTATCATTATCATATCCATATCAACTCTTATCGGTTACTGAAAATTGTCAATCAGCGAATATAAGAGTCGAGACTAAGACCTAAATCTTGAACCGGTTATATACTGATCTAAACGTAATTGTATCCATTTGGGAGAGTCAAACAAAGCACTGATATGATTAAACCTAAAATCACTGGCAATACCTACCGGTCCTATTTTCAGAGGGATGCACACCATACAGAGAGGACAGGTACGAAGTGGTGTACCCTGCTTCAATAGTCACCAGCGAGGAAAATAGTCCGCCACTTATCTCCAATAACTTCATGAGCGTGTCTCTCGCTTGCCAACCAGGTTCGTAATATTTGTAATAAATACCGCGCCGTCTTTACGGTTAAACTTTGCAGCCAGTTTAGCCTCATAAGGTTGATATTCAATACCTCAGCGGTCTGTTGCGTTGATATTTATGTTAAGCATTTTATGGTATAAACTTTGGAAGTTCTAAAGCGGAACTAGCAGGTGAAAGGGCTTTTTACCTCTTTGAGGTGGGAGAGAGAAAATTATAAAAAGAGAAAGGTTGATATTGATAGAGTTGGATTTATAGCGTAGAGAATATAACAGAGAAAATACCTACGAGCAACATCCTCGCAGGGTATACAAGATCAGTTGGTAACGTTGGAAAGATCTCAGTGTTGTGCAAGAAAGACAGTGACACCAGGGCAGTGGCATGGTCTACTGACAACATCATCGACTGTATCAGTAAGTAACACCTTAATAACTTTGTCGCTATATTATACTTATAGTCGCTATATATATTGTTCCATATAATACCCTTATGTTATATGTACGCTTTCGCGCGTACAAGACGAGCAAAATATCATGTCAGCAAGTTGAACAAGTCTGCGTAATTTTACTAGTGATTGAAGTTTACAATAACGTAATACAGCTTATAGTTATACAGCTTACTTAGTCAAACAGAGATTGGGCGTGGAATGATCGCAGTACCCCGGCCCCGTGAGAAAAACCTGTTCATGTTGCAAGATTGGGCACCAAAATAATTCCTCTGTCCTTGTGGTCTACATCAATCGTACACTGAGATCCCCGATGGTCACCACACCCAAACCACTTATAAGAGCATAAAAGCGTAAAATGTCAACTCACATTTAATTTTGTTCATGTTTTACCAGTAATGAAGTGGGATTTACCAAACTGTTAACGTGTTAAGCCTGTCAGCGAGGAAATGCGATCAAACCTCATGGGCAATTATACTACACTAGCAGAAACCAAGGACAAAAGAAAATCGCGATTATTTAGGCCAAAAATCACGGCGCCGCGTGACATGCCAAATTAGGCAAAATCACGGCGAAAATTTCGAAAATCGCGGCGAAAGATAATGTATTTGCAGAGCAAAGTTAGATGTCATATATTCGTTAACTAGCCTGTTAGTCTAGTAAGATTAAATACTGATCAGAGCATGCTTTTAGATCAGCCCTTCCAGATGATCTCGAAAGTTGCTCCCAGCTCGCCAGACCTCGCCAAAACGAAACTCGATGTTCCACTTCGAATCTGTACTCATATACATAATATTATTAGTTAACTTGTGTTAATACATTACAATACAACACGTAATCAAACAAATAAACCCTGTTTACAATGAGATAACATCACGTGATCGAATCACGTGTTTTGATAACAAAGCTAGAGACTAAGGGGTATGGAGCACACTGCTTTTCATGTGTTTTATAGACTGACCATGAGTTCCTTTCACAAACTGTACTACTAGTCTTAACTATAATTCTAAAGATTTTGTGGGGACCGAGGGCTCATCGTCCGAGTATAAAGCAAAGCATGTTAAGCAGATACTCCTGGCCAGAAACCCGTCTAACCCAAAAAAACTCAAGAGACTAAAATAATTATTACCTATTTAATTCGCGTTTTTGACACCATAATATGGGGGTCCAAATTTTGGGCACTATAATTATTATTCCTCGACCAATTTTTTATTTTTTCATGCTGATTTGAAGGCCATTAAAGCATTTGAACATTGTGTCTTCAGATGCTTGAGGAGGGCATATCCCGGCTCGGATCTCGTTCATCTTACAAGGTCACTGAGGATTGCACAAGACACGACTGACGTTCTATTCCCAAAGAAAGCTTTGATAAACACAAAATCGCTATCAAGGTACTGAAAGCAGTATATCCGGAGAAAACTTTAATGCGATGAATATTTTGAATATGTCCTACCGGTAGGATAAATTCGAATTTCAGCTTTCAGCGACCCAAATTTCACTGAATTTTTCTTGAATAACCATCTTACAAGGTCACTGAGGATGGCACAAGACACGATTGATTTACTCAAAGTTCTACTTCACACCACTGGCTAAGCCTGGTAAAACTCGTGGCCCAGTTAAGTCGATACGACCATTGACCCTGCTGAATGTTTCTAGAAAGATCCTGTCACTGATAGTGCTAAACAGAATAGAGAGAGCTGTGGACAACTTCACCGGACCGTTCCAAGCTGCCTACAAAGCTGGCAGGAGCTGTGCCGACCTAGTTTGGGCACAGAGCATGCTCATATCAGTAGTAATGAAGAAGGAGTTTGAATGGAACAAAGTGAGTATCGACATGTCAGCTGCCTTCAATACCATCCGCAGAGGTACAACAATCAGACTACTAGAAGCTGCAGGATGCTCCAGAGACGACCTGAGGCTTGTACAATACCTCATGGCTAACACCACTCTAGTAGTCAGAGTGTGTTCTACTGACTCAGAGATGTTATCTTTCAACATAGGAGCCTCCCAAGGAGACAGCACAGCTGGTAAATTGTTTACCCTCAATCTAGCTGGAGCTGTAGTGCACATAAGAGCAGTCCTCCCCTCAAGACCCAACCCTCCGATAGCCGATAACCACATGCCTCTTGAGTCCGGCTATTCAGACGATGTAGAGGAAATTGGTGAAGATATGGAGGAGTTACAGGATATCTTTCAGATCTCCAAGAATATTCTCAGTGAATGGAGTCTCTTTGTCAATGACACAAAGACAAAGTTTACCAGAGTGTATTTGGAAGAAGTTGGTGCCTGTGACGAGTGGGGTAATGAACTAAGAGGAAAAGAGGAGTGGAGAAACGAGACGCTTCTTGGTACTAAGCTTGGATCAGAGCAGGATGTTACTAATAGAATAAATAAAGCTAACTCTGCCTTCTGGTCATTTGACAAGCTGTGGTGCCAGGGATCAGAAAGGAGTCAGATAACTGAGAAGAGAAAGATCAAACTCTACGACTCACTAGTAGTATCAGTGCTCCTGTACAACTGCTGCTGCTGGGCCGTACCTCAGCATGTTCTAGAGTCTGTAGATGTTGTTCAGAGGAAGCACCTCAAGCGCATCCTACACATCTATTGGCCTAGCTCAATATCTAACAAGGCCCTCTACGCTCGTACCCAGACCAGGCCCCTTTCCGAGAGAGTGGAAAAAGCACGGTGGACAATGCTAGGTCATGTTCTACGCAGTGACAACGACACGCCTGCCTACCAGTCTCTGTTATTTGCTACACTAGGATGTCAAACACTAAAGGGACGAGTGGGTAGACACAGGACTAATTTGTATGATATTATTGTAAAAAAGGACCTATTTAAGAGACAAATTTATTTGAAAAATGAAGATGATTTTACCAACTTAGTGAACTTAGCAAGAGATAGAGTAGGATGGAGGAGTTTATTTACTTTGAGACATATTGAACGAATGAGTCTTCGTAAGCGTAAATAGGCCAGCACTTTGCTGAGCCTCTTTAGGTGCTCTTTTGTTTATAGATGTTATTATATATACTTCCAAAGAAAGCTTTGATAAACGGAAAATCATCAGAATGTAAAAAGATATTTTTGAAGAAAAGATTTTCTGCCGTTTCCTTGATCGAAATTTCGCGGTTTGACAGAATTTTGGACCAGTGACCATGAATCACATTATAACATTATTATTTCGGAAAATCAAAACCGTTTTTAAAACCGTCTAAAACCTCTCAGGCGGTTGTAAAGACATTACACAAGCGGTTTCAAATGGTGCTACAACTGATAAGCCCAGCACTACCAAAGGAGCCTCTCCCTTTAGACCTGGGGACTCCGTAACCTTCTTGTAAGTTAACATTTATAAACTAATTATAAACTTTCATTTAAAATTCCTGTCCACTATATTTCCAGACTATATGTAAACGGTGTGATTTATTATTTGTTGACTTCAGTTAGATGAGATATTTAACCCGGGTCTGTGAGTTAGATGATGAGAGTCAGTGAGGCAGAAAGATTTATTAGAGGAAATTATGTTTGGATAGTGGGAAACCTTTCGAGAGTACGGTAAACTAGTCAGGGAGGATCCTGGATACATTGACGCAGAGATAATGGACCTTTATCTTTGTAGGGAGGCAAGTCACTAATAAAGATGCATAGAAAGGGTTATCGTAGGGTAGTACTAGTAGTCGAACTCGAAGGTAATTGTGGGCCGCTCAGAACTACGGTAATGATCAAATGAGGGAAGATTGAATCGAGGGAAAATGACAAAGATATACCATTGAAACTTGTTTGGATGGTCGAATGCTTTTATTGCCTTTTGAGTTTTGACCAGTATGATGTAATAAAAAATTGGCCAATGAATAAGAACTTTGGATTCCGAAATTTGGACCCTTAAGTGGTATTAAAATCGTAAAATAAGTAAATATTGCTGTCTCTTGGCACCGTTTTGGGGATAAAAGTGTTCATGCTAGTTTTAGTAATAATAAATGAAATGAAAATGAAATGAAATGAAATAAAGCATTTTTATCCCGCTTATATCAACAATCCAAATAAAAATAAAGATTGCCGATGTCAAAGCGGCTGGCCTATGAATATACCCCAAACTAAGATATTCAGTTAATGAGTATGATATAAAAAATCCAAAACTAAATTACTTATTGACATTAAAAGTTAGCATAGCAACGGTAAAAAAACAACTTAAGGATGTATATAATTAAACATTATTATAAATCGTTCACTCCACTATCTTGTCCTTACAACAAATTTTACCACTTCTGATATAATAATGTTTATCTGTGTCTTCTTTGGCAATCTGTTTCATCTCTAAGACCAACTGCTGATGGATAGTTCGTTCCTCAGGTGATCGGTCCGGAGAAATGAAAACAGTTTTATGACGTGAAATCAGTCTCAGTTCTTTGGCTTTCACTAATATCTGATGGACTGTACTTGAATTTTCAAAAGAAACTTTAACTGATCTAATCTTTTCAGCTGACTTCTTCCCAACCCGGACAGCTTCGAAGTGTGGCTTTTCTTCAATCTGCTGAAACATCTTGCCAACTTCATGATTCAGATTCTCTTCACTAGTCTCCTCGAAACCAAATATTAACACATTCTTAGTTCGATCCTCTTCTGATATAACATTCTGTACAACCTTTTTCAAGCTCTCTTCTGTGAGTACAGGTGCGGTTTCGAAACAGCTTGACTGAATGTGATTATCCCAGCTTGAACAGTGTCCTGGACGGTGGTCTTGACAGTGGAGTGCAAAACAAGGTGGCACCAGACCAGTCCTCCCGGGGCGTACCGATGGTCTACAGTGCCTGCTCACAAAGGTGTACTCACAATATACACTACTCACTCAGTCGTTCTTAGCGACTGACAACCGCAATAACTCACAATAACTAAGTATTGAACTCTACGTTAATACGACAATCACGATAACTTGTATTGCCAATTACTCTGATATGACTACTACATACATGCAATCTAGGTAAACTATAGGTAAAAATACAATATTAATCATAAGCTAAAATGTACAAATCTTTGTATTCTAAATGGGGAAAAAGAAGAAACATTGTCAGTCAGTCGATAAAATTGTCAGTCAGGCTATATGGCAGCTTTGTAGATGTTGTGACTATGCTAGTAGTGGTCCCAGGCTTGCGACTGGAATTGCGGTGTTAAATCGATTTAACGGTATACCAACGATCCACCTCCCACTTGTTGTTTGGTACTTAGCATTAATAGTGTTAGCTGTAGCCATTTATAGCAAGAATCTTAAAACTAAAGGGGATGACAAGGAAAAGAGGAAGGAAAAAGAATAACGGAACAAACAACTAAGTGCGGTACTGTGAATCAAACGGTTCAAATGCTACAATTCGGTCCTAAGCTAGAGTTGAACAAAGGAAACAGTTGAATCGAGTAATAACGTTCGAATGATGAATATAAAGATATTATCAACAATCACAACTTAAACTGTGGCAAGACGGGCCACGTTGGGCGTTCTAGATCAGCGGTTAACACTTTGATTAAACACGTCACCTAAAGAGCTTTTCCAGAACTAATCCTAACATGTCCAGAAATGCGTTATCGACACGCGCCACGTGGTACCACGTGGTCACTTAACTACCTAAATCTACACCCATTACTAACGGTCATATTAATCACTAAATTACAATCTACACAACTGCTAAAACTACTCTAAAACTGCTGCAACCAGCCTACATATTACACTATATCCCCCGGGAAAATTTAATCGATTTCGTCAATATCTCCAGGAGGTATTGACAAATTCGACTAAATCCCCCCCTACCTACTAAATCCTTCAAAAAATCCTAAAACTCCCTCTTAACAACACCCTAAAAATAAAAATACCAACAAAATCCCCGTGATGCAACTCACGCGAAAAAACTATCTTTTAAAAAATTTACACGTGCTACAAAAATATAAAATTTAAAAAATACGTGTACCATCATGTACCAAATCTGAATAATTAAAACTATACGTGAAAGATTCCAATTGCTTCGATTTGCTTTCCAGAAGTTCAGCCTGCAGCTTGATAACAGTACTTTGCGATCGGATAAGATCGCTCTTCAACTCCTCCATATCTTTCTTGATATCCAGAAACGTATCTACATGATCACTGGTAGTCCGATACGCATTATACAAATGTTTGACTAAAACTGCCTTCACTGGCTTTTTGAACATTTCAGCTGAAAACTCATTTTCATGGTCACAGTTCATAGCTTCCGAGAGTTCAGTGACCCAAGAGTTATAGACCTGATGGTGATCGGTAATGTAGGAAGAGTAATTTGACAATCTTTGAAGAATATCCATTTCATCATCATCCATCGTGTACTTGTACTTGTATAAAGTAAAAACACAGTACCCGCACAATGGCAGTTATAATGTAGCGATAAAATAGAGATAATTGAGAGCTAGATTATCAACACGTAACAAAAACTGCACATCACAAAGAAAATGATAAGAAAATATAATAAGAAGTGACAAGAAACTTTTTTTAGAAGCAGAAGAAGAAGAAAGGTAATAGAAACTATAGATAAGGAACGATAAGCAACTATAATAATTCATCTTCAGCTGCGATCCTGGATACACCCTGGTTGGTTACAAGAACCTAACTTGCACCGGTGCTAACATTTGGAACGAGAATACACCGGAGTGTGTATACATTGCAGCTGTCTAGATAGATAGAGATGCACTTGTAGGTGCCTAGATGTGCACTGCAGGTGACATTTTAACTAGCCGAAAATCATGTTAATTTATAATTTCGAGTAAATTGAGGAATAAGGAGAATCATGAGCTGAACGGATGTAAAAATTACGATTAAACGTTGACGGCATGAGTGGTGCTCCAAGTTCGGCATTTTTGGAGACTACTCGCAAAACAAATTGGAACAGAGATTGTGATTTGTGTGAAATCTCAAGAGAAAACGTTATTATGGTGGTCTTATTTACAACTTTAACAACATCTACATTTCGATTTATATGAGCGTGTTAAATTAAAATAAAATATAACTGCATATTTAACCTACTGAAAAACTTGGTTCATGTTTGATAAACTTTAAATTATTATTCCAATGAAATATCTGCTGATCTATATTTTAGTATTTCTAATATTTCTACTATATATGATACTTTAAGCATAATTTTGAGTATTTTTTAACATCTTAATAAGCCGGTAATGTAACGATACCATGTGATGAGAAAGATATACCATTGCATATACACTGCATATACATTATACACTGCATATACACACATGGTCTAGTACATTGCATATACATATACAATATATATTGTACTAGACCTTGCGACCCCTTGTAAAGTAAACTTCGCCGACTGTGAGATCTAAAACAGTCCATGTTCATTAACCTCGATATTAATGAGAGACAAAATTACAAAGAAAAAATGAAAGAAAAATATATATTAATGAGCATTTTGTACACCACAGCTATGGATTTTCTTCAGAGGACAACACAAGGATCTTCAATCAACTTTCTTTCATGTAAGGACATTTCCTTTCTTCTTTTATAAATTAATCAAGGATAAAGCTGGGTTAAATCAATTTGTCGCCAGCAGGGTAATGCAGTACTTAATTAACACGTACAACTAACTAAAAAAACATGCAGAGAAAGTATACTCAATCGCTCGAAATGCCTAAAATTGCAATACCCAGAGTTTCCAAACATCAAATTACCATATCCCTGATTTCAGTAACTGTTATTTGGGCCTTGATGCCGACCTCTAGAGCAGACTGTACTTTCACCTACAACTTTCAAGTAATAGTCCAGAAAGGTGTGTCCTATTTTCACGATTTAGACTTAACGAATGAGGACAATAACTTGACGGTAAGGTTTGGAGTTGGAGGGTCTATCACTGTCAAGTGTGTAGAAGGATACGTAAGTTTATATTGGTTTGTTGTGTTTGTTGGTTTTAAAACTTGGCTTATTATTTATTATAAGTTTGTGGTATAACGTGTCATTGTATTAAAAAGTTGTGATGAAGTTGAAACAAAGCTCAGGTGTGTCTTCTTATTTTGGGATCAAAATAATAATAGCACTTTACATGTTTTCAGCAATTTGTCAACGGAATAAGAAAAGTAGACGGGGTCAACACCTTTAGCCTGGACCATGATGAAGGTCTCAAGATAAGTTGCGAAGTGGGAAACAACATGAAGCCTGACATCTCCAAGAACGTTTTGGGATACGATCGGTATCTGTTTTGTGATGGTATGTCAATGCCCATATATGGAAGTCGATTATAAACAACTGCGATCCTACAAAGGAATTAATTAATTTGTCGACCAGTTCGTTAATCACAGTGCTGGCAAGCACGACCGTTGCATTTATTGTGGGTATACTATGTACCCCATTTACTATTATAGCCCCTTTACTATTATACCCCCTTTACTATTAAACCCCCTTTACTATAATACCCCCTTTGGTACACGTTACAAGTCTCTTTCGTGCACGCGAAGCGTGCACTCCGGCCGGAGGCGGCGGCCGAAGGCCGCCGCCTCCGGCAGGAGTTTTTCAGGCATTAAGACTCATCGGAAGTCGTTCAGCAGATTTATTTTTAGTTCAAAACATTCTAATTTGATGTCAAAGATGACAGGAATAAAAATAGTTATGTTGAGATTTTTAAGAAATTTGCATAAAATACTCGCCAGCACTGTTATACGAAATTCGGTAAAAAACCCAAAATCGCCATATTCAGGTGCCTTAAAAACCATGTTAAAATTGAGTTACAGATCTGAAATTTTTCAGGGCGTCTAGACGTTGACCAAATCGACTGCAAAAAAAGTTTCAGGTCTCAGGATCATCGGGAAATGGGTTTTCTAGAACCCCTGTTTTACGATAGATTGTCGTGATACATACATCACAATGCTGGCAAGCATTACCGTCGCCCTTATATTCACAATACTATTTACCCCCTATACTAGTATATCCCCTTTATTGTTTTCCAGGCATTAAGACTCATCGAAAGTAGTTCAGCAGGTACCTATATTTAAGTTCAAAACATTCTAATTCAATGTTAAAGATGACAGGAATAAGAAATAGTTATGTGGAGGTTTTTAAGAAATTTGCGCAAAATACGCGCCAGCATGTTATACGAAATTAGGTAAAAAACCCAAAATCGCCATATTCAGGTGCCTTAAAAACCATGTTAAAATTGAGTAAGAGATCTGAAACTTTGCAGGGCGTCTAGACCTTGTCCAAATCGACTGTAAAAAAAATTTCATGTTTCAGGAGTATCGGGAAGTGGGTTTTCTGGAACCCCTGTTTTACAACAGATTGTCGTGAAGTATAGTATAGACGCTTTTGCAGTCAATTTGCAGTCAATTGTAGCCTACATTTAAGTGTCCGTAGATTCAAAAGTATAAAAGATACAGTCATTTCGAACCACAGGTTTTGAAGATAATTGTTTATACTTTAGTTTACATTATATCAAAAAATAATTTATCTTCATCATCATCACTTGATGACGTCATCAAATTAAGTGTTTTTAAAACTTGATTTTTGACAAAGTAACAACTTTTCAAATCGATTTTAAACCATTAAGGAGTAATTTTATTCAAAATCTGAGGACATTTTTATCTTAGATAATTGTTCAAGCATTCTGAAAATCTACCGGAAAAGTTTCTTACTTTGCTCCTTCATAAAGATATTCGCTATTGAAGTAAGTGCTTTTTTGAAGAATAATTTTATAAAAACACAAAAGTTGTGAATTAGTATTCTCTGGTGTTGGGCCATCCCTTGGGTTGTGGAGCTCAATTTTGCTTTCTAAAGGTCTAAATTGTGTTATAGGCTAGTTTTAAAGTTGAAATTCAAAAAGTTGCACACGTCGGGACACGCCCAATTTGATAGAAAATTGCTAAAATTACTGAAAATTGCTGTTTTCACCATTTTTATCAACTTTGGAGTCCCGTTGTGATCCAAGTTCTATATGAAATCTTCTGAAACTTTGCATGCTTATTAAACTATATATAAAATACTGCTATGCAAAAATTTACGGTGATTCAATATTGTATCCGCACGCAACGTCCGCTCAAAGTTTGCACGTGCGAAAGGTGAGAATTTTGCTCATTCGTGATTTCGAATAAATTCTGCTTTCCCACGATATTTAAATGGCATTATATATGAATTTAATGCCAACTTTTTTTTATCTAGACACTTATTTTACTTCGGTGTATTCCAACAGCCACAAATTACCTCCTAATTATTAATATAAATATTAATGAAGTTATGAGTTTACATTTCGGCTTTGTAAATTATCCTGACATTATAATCAAAAAGAGATGATATTTGACCAAAACCCATAATCATGGGTAGAGTGTACCGCTGCCAGTGTCTCTCTTTTCCAAACAAAAGGAAATGATATTAATTTGAATAACCGTCCGAAAATGCAAATTGATACCGAGAATGAAATCGGTCGCTCGCTTTTTCCATTCGATCACGGCTTACGAATTATAATATAAAGCTTATTGATTGGAAAAAGCGAGCGACCGATTTCATTCTCGGTATCAATTTGCATTTTCGGACGGTTATTCAAATTAATATCATTTCCTTTTGTTTGGAAAAGAGAGACACTGGCAGCGGTACACTCTACCCATGATTATGGGTTTTGGTCAAATACCTATATACATATATTCAGGGATAGACGCTTTGCCAGTCAATTGTAGCCTGTATTTAATTGTCCATAGATTCAAAAGTATAAAAGATACAGCCATTTCCGACCACAGGTCTTGAAAATAATTGTTTATACTTTAGTTTACATTGTATAAACAAATTATTTGACGTCATGAACACCCCTTGATGACGTCATCAAGTTAACCGTTTTTAAAACTTGATTTTTGACAAAGTAATAACTTTAAAAAATGATTTTAAACCATTAAAAAGTAATTGTATTCAAAATCTGAGGAAATTTTCATCTTAGATAATTGTTCAAGCATTCTGAAAATCTACCGGAAAGTTTTTCTAGCTTGCTCCTTCATAAAGATATTCGTCATTGAAGTTTGTGCTTTTTTGAAGAATTATTTTATAAAAACGTCAATTTTGCGATTTAGTATTCTCTGGTGTTGGGCCATGCCTTGGGTCGTGGAGCTCAGTTCTGCTTCCTATAGGTATAAATTGTGCATTAGGCTAGCTTTAAAGTTGAAAATCGAAAAGTTGCACACGTGGGGACACGCCCAAATTGATAGAAAATTGCTAAAATCACTGAAAATTGCTGTTTTCGTCATTTTCTGTCAACTTTAGAGTGCCGTTGTGATTACAGTTCTTCTTGAAATACTTTGAAACTTTGCATGCTTATCAAACTATATATAAAACAATTACATGCAAAAATTTACGGCGATTCAATATTGGATGCGCACGCAACGTCCGCTCAAAGTTTGCACGTGCGAAAGGTGAGAATTTTGCTCATTCGTGATTTCCAACAAATTCTGCTTTTTAATGTCATTATGTATGAATTTAATGCCAACTTGAATGAGTATAAAGTGGCATATTCAGTCAGTGATCGACCGATATGCTTACCTAAACACAAGGAAATGTTTTTAAAGGAAAAATTTCGAAATCGTTGAAACTTCCTCCTTATTAATATTAATGAAGATATCAGTTTATATTTCGACTTTATAAAGTACCCTGACATTATAATCAAAAAGAGATGATATTTTACCAAAACCCATAATCATGGGTAGAGTGGACCGCTGCCAGTGTCTCTCTTTACCAAACAAAAGGAAATGATATTAATTTGATTGACCGTTCTCAAATGCAAAATGATACCGAGAATGAAATCGGTCCCTCGCTTTTCCCATTCATTTACAATTGTAATAGATTAAGAAGAACTACCCAAAGGCATCTGTGGGGGAAAAGCGAGCGACCGATTTCATTCTCGGTATCATTTTGCATTTGAGAACGGTCAATCAAATTAATATCATTTCCTTTTGTTTGGTAAAGAGAGACACTGGCAGCGGTCCACTCTACCCATGATTATGGGTTTTGGTAAAATAGTTTATTACAAAATTCACGAATGAAGAAGTCATCATTTGAGAGGAAGAGGTAATTAAGGTTCCCAAATGTGACAAGTCTGATAAATTAACATGAACAACAATAATCATGCTGCAGCTCTCGCACTGTGTTTGGCGTATATCTGATTCTGACACCACAGGTTTCATGGCAGCCGGAAAATCTGGTTTATTTAAAAGAAGAAACAATTAATACTGTTGTTTAAGGTAATTAAATCAGCCGCCACAATTTCAGAGGGTTGTCCTCCAGTAAGAGAGGACAAGTACATGGTATCCTATCCTGCAGCTATAGTAACATCTGAGGACAGTAGTCCTCCTATCACATACCTTAAAGATTCTTTCATTTCCTTCTCTTGCCAGGTACTCTTAGTTCCTCACCATTGCATTATTCTATTGTAATTATCTTAAAAGGTTAACCTATTAATTGGGCCCGCTAAGTGTTCCCGTATTAATTCCATGAATCAAATGGGTAAAATTTGTAAATGTGTAAAATGTGTAAAATGTGAAAATGTGTAAAATGTGTAAAATGTGTAAAATGTGTAAAATGTGTAAAATGTGTAAAATTGTAAAATGTGTAAAATGTGTCACAACGAATTTCCCCCAGCCTGGATATACGATTGCTACGGGTAACGTTGGCAGCAGTAAGTCGCAGTGCAAGAAAAGTACCGAAGAAGTGAACTGGTCCCCTAAAAAGGAAGACTTCATTAACTGTGTCAGTAAGTAACGATTCCATTTTCCAATGTCCACACAGTAAGTCTTGATCACTCATCATGTACAAATAAGTTAGTCTAGATAGCAAAATATAGTACGACATATGTAAAACAGACGGAGAAAGGCCATCCAAAGAGTGCATGCCTATTAAAATTGTCGATTACTATTAGACTATTAGTGCTTTTATCTGCCCCATGAATTTAGAATTACTATTTTTAAAGCTAAAAACGGAAACTAAAAGTTGTATTTAGAAATTAAAAGCTTTTATAAGCTTTTAATCTCAAAGCTATGGAGGATGCACCAAGCATCAGGTTCCTTTAAAGATTGAGTCACATACCGTTACAATAATGAGTTTAATATATATTCAAGAGCGCTAGCCTGCTGATTTATCGCGGCTGTTCTCGTCTAAAGCTATGCTTGGTGTAGCTTGTTGGGATAGTATAGGAATTCTAATTCCTTTAAGTTTTGAATGAGGTAATTATCAGTTCACAGATCACTCTCTAAACCTACAAGGAAACATTTCCTGTAGATTCTCGGTATATAAGCAACATTTGACAGAGCATCTTGTGGAGAACTCGGTGAATGCCCTTGCTATACTGCAGTAGTGTTAAACAAGGAACTGAAACCGAGGGGTTCCGCTCAGGCCCATCACACTTTGTTTCTGTCTGGTTCTGATATACCGTTACAATAATGACTTTAATATACTGATCTTACTGCCTTTAAATAGGCGAATACCTGCCAACGTTATGTTGTCTGGCCTGACATATTGTGTCTTGTCTGTGAACTTAATTATTAATAAACTTGGTCCAGAGCTGCAGAAATTGATTATAAAGTAGCAGTCAATATTGAACTAAATTAAATGTAGTTTCTGTTGGTCAAGACTCATTTACTAAGACAGTTCGTCAACCATGCGTCATTTAAACGTGAGTATACCGTTACGTATGTTAAGTAAGTAAGTAGTTAAGAGGCTGTGCGTTTACCGTGAGTTAACCGTGAGTTTACCGTGCGTTAAGTGACTGTGCGTTTACCGAGTTCTAATTCCAATTTAAAAAAATAAATTATATGAATATAAATTATAATTTAATTGATCAAAAAAGTCCGATTCAAATATTCTAAAATGCGACAAAAAGTGTTCTTAAATGTGACAAAAAATGTTTTAACACCATGATTAAACAGATTAAACGGATTAAACGTTAATTGGTCAAGAGAAGCCCTAACACTCCTGGCTTGACAATACAAGAATGAAATCTCGTCCATCGCTGCGAAGGTTTTTTCCTGTCCATCTTTTATATGGGTCGAATACTGGTGCTATTTCCGTTGAGGTACCATATGAGGAGCGTGTACGTTCTGATAAGCCCATAGAAATAAAAAGTGGTTCTTTTGAGCCTTCTTGTCAGAGATCAGATCTACCCCATCCGCTGAGTGGGTAAAGCTCCGTCTGTACTGTCCCTTCAGATCGGTATCGCACATCGCCAACGAACTTGCCTTTCTTAGGCGCAGTAATCGTCTCTCAGATCATATCCTCCGCCCCTTATGTGGGTGTTTAGTCCTGACTTCCAGATAGTACCCAAAGAAGTCATCGAACCCACGATGTGCAGGGGTGTAGGACCATGTGTGCATGCCAAGATGCCACTTTCCCACAGCATGAGTTGAGTAGTTGTACTCCTTAAGTATTTGAGGAATAATAGTCTCGTCAAGAGGAAGCCCCCAGGGTTGACCTGGAAGAATGACGAAATGCTGAAGTCCTGTGTGTATTGGATACCTGCCTGACATTAGAGCACTCCGGGTGGGAGAGCAAATCGGCTGGACGTAGTGCTGTTTTAGGAGCACACCTGTAATTTTACAGCTCGTCAAATCAGATGTAAACCAAAGTCGTTTTCATAATCATTTAATTTCTTACAGACTATTTATTCATTCTGCTTGTTGTATAATTGATTTGGGGTTGAATTTCCGTGTTTTTCTGAGTCCCTACCTTCATTTGCCAGTTTATCCAAGTTTGGTGTTTTGATTCTCCCTCCAGTAAAACCAAGGTCTCCATGGCCCAGGTCATCGCTCAGAATGTAAATGATATTAGGCTGCTTCTCTTCAGGATTGGCAGACTGTACTATCGATAGAGTACCAAAAAAAGCAAAGCAAATCATAATTCTTGCAAATAAATTGCCAATGAATTACAACTCGAGTAATAAAACCCCTTGAAGGAAAGTAAAGCGGTTATTCGATTATATATACCATATTTTCTGTTTATCATAAACCTAGAATCTTATCGTTGGCAGTACCCACTGGCTTGGGTGTTAAATTTCATATTTTGAAAGATGCAATCTGAACCTATATAAATTAACCAAGTACAAGTTTGAGAGAAATAACGGAACACAATTCTACCAAGAACCATTCTTGTTAACACATTACCATATATAGTTCTTTACCAGAGACGTGCACCTCGATTCGCCGCCGCCGCGTAATGTTGACCCAGACCGCCGCCGCGAAATTTTGACCCAGACCGCGGTCTATGACTATGATGTATTGGCCGTCAGATCAACAAATACAGCTATTAACAATAAATTAATTAGTTCTTCAATGTAGAGTGATATTAAGAAATCGATTCATATACATCAGTTAAACAACCAAATTACCACCATGTACACAGTAGACCGCGGTTTGGATATCTAGTAGTCAGACCGCGGTCAGACCGCCACCGCCGACCAATTTTGGCGTCCAGACCACCGCCGCCTAAAAGTAACACGGTGCACATCTCTGCCGGTCAGTTAGAACTGAAATCCTGTGCTTCAAAGTTCAGTCCCAGCATTGTTATTTTGAATATAATCATCCTCATGATCCAACTCACATTCACAAGCTATTGTGTGCTGAACTGGAGTAACAACTCCTCCTCTATTTGGTGTGAACCGTTTCTTTACTTCCTTCACCAGAGCTAGCTGAATGAACGAATTGTACGCTGCTAGCATCGAAGGTATGAAGCAATTAATAATGAAACCGTTGTAATAATTTAAGTTTCCTTGTGCCAAGTATGGGGTAAATTTTGTTGTAAGCTCGAATATGTACCCCGCGATAGCAGCGAGGCTCATGGCTAAAGCGGCCCTACCTCCTTTCTCGTTTTGAACTCTTGTCTCCTCCATCCCTGATTTCTTTATCATCAGCTTGTACGCTACGTGGAGGTACGATGAGATGATCTGGACAATACAAACACTTCGTATTGCCAAGAAAATTTGGATTGCTATGTTTTGAAGATCACCAACTTTTTGATTATATCTGGAAAATATCATGGTTAAATGCTCGGGCAGTACCACCACGAAAACTGCAACCACAGTGATTACCAAGACCACAACAGAACCGGTCCCTCCGACGATGATACCTTTAATTCTCTTCACGGATCTCCTCTTCAGTGGATGGATTATACTGTCCTTAGCCAGGTTACTCAAAACTGCCACGTACCAGACCGAGAGAATTGACACGATCTCAAGCAGGCACGTGTTGAATACCTCGTAGGGCGTGGTTGTCAGATAGACCAGTTTATCTTCCTCCTTCTCCCTCAGCAGCTTGTATCCCCATAGTACGGGGAAGTAGGTGTTGGTGACCAGGTCTGTTACCATCAGGAAGGATGTTAGGAAGCTGGGTATGCTCCGTGCTGCAGTTTTTAGTCGGATAGATAGCACCACGGGGTTTATTATTGTGGTGATGAGGAGATTGAGGGACAGTGATATGAAGAAGATGTAGTTGCATGAGGCTTCCGTTGGTTCGTCTTGGATTGTTCCGTTAGCGTACCAAATAAAATTCTCTCCAAAGATCGTCATGTTTGAAATCTGGTACGAATTTTAAATTAATTGTAGCGACCGTCCTACATTTTTTCAAATCTATACAATGACTACCATTATTGATAAAAACCGACGAAACTGAAAAAAGAGCAAACGTAAGGAAACCTCTCAGCAATTATCGTAAGACTGTAAGACACTAAGGAGCCACCTATTTGGATCAGCTCGTAAAGATAAAAAACACCTGCAAGACGAATACTAATAGATTGATACTGGAAGGCACGTGTTGGAAAATTAATTAAACTGGAGTCGAGTTAAGTGGAAAATAAGAAATATAAGATAAATGGTGTTTTATAATTCTAGATAGACTGATCGTGCAGATCATCTCTAATCATATTTATAATTAGCAAGGGCTCGCGTTCTATACTCTTAGTGAACGACTATGATGCACGTGGACCCATAATTTAAAGTCTTTATTTACCTGGGGACCCCAGGCTATTATATACTAAATCTCTACTATAAATTCAATACAGCTCCAAGATAAGTTATCAAATATTGAAATAATATTCTTCAGATCTCTGTTGCTGTACTATAACTTTTTCCGTAATTCCAATTTCACTCAATTAAATAACCAGTTCTAAAAATTTTGGGTGACGTTTTTCCACATTTGCTAAAATAAGTAAAAACGCTTGTGACTTGGTAGTTTTATTTTACTGAATGCTTCCATTCCCAATTAACTATCTGTTTAACAGATTTTCTAAAATTTTAGAAAAGAAATAAAAAATAAATGATTACTATAATGGCTCAGAGAACACAACAAAATTCAAGCACCTACTTTTTACAAACAATAAGCGAAACCTTTCATTTTTTTCTACCTTGTTAAAATCTTGTTAGATTTATTGACATAACCATGGAAAAGTAAAAAATAAGCACAGTTCATAGTTGTTCGTTAAATCATATTGATCACTCTGAACTAGTTTGTTGAAGCTCATAAATCTACACCATTATTCACAACCTGGTAGCAAGGGTCCGGCAGCTCTTCCACCTCCATTTGGACCCAGTTGTACTCTTCCATCTCCCACAAGTTCTTCCTCAAATTCTCCCCTACTTCCTCCCCATCTTCCATCCAAGGCATCCATGTGTGGTTGAAATGTATGGGGTCGGAAGCTGGGTCGGTTGCCATGTTCCCTGGTGGAACAGCAGTTGCATTGTACGCCATCAACTTGTGAGTTAGCTTCTTTACAAGGTGAGGGTAGCGGTCGGACACATTTCTACGTTCGTAAGGATCCAGCTCGATATTGTATAGCTCCACGAGGCCTGCGATAGGTTTGTGGCAAGTTCTGTCCGCGGTCTCGAGATCGTTCAGTCTTGGAGCTGGGTACCAGCCACTTGGGGGACCCCCTGACCCTAGAATTAGTTTCCACTCTTTCCATCTGATCCCATAGTTAGGGACCTTGTGACCATTACTTAGAGGATAAGGATCAATATTCAGTAAGATCTCCGTCCTCTCCGAAGCTTTATTCTCTGATATAGTCTGCCACTGATTTACGCCATCTAGTGACTTAGTTTTGATGGGGTTGTTCGGCTTCATCGTCCCTTGCAGACTAGCAAGACCCCAAAATGTGGGCAGCCAATCAGCAACGTGAATGAGAGCGTTAGATGTTGCAGGAGCTAGTCGACTTCCAGCCCATACAAATGAAGGTGATCTGATCCCACCTTCATAGATAGAACGTTTGCCGCCTCTGTAAGGGTAATTACTAGCAGTGACATGGCTTACGCACCCTACATTTGCTCCATTGTCAGAGCTGAATACGATGACGGTGTTATCAGCCAAACCTGCTGCTTCCAGTGCTGCGGTTATGTTTCCTATCCCTTCGTCCATTGCACTGACCATCGCTGCGAAGGTTTTTTCCTGTCCATCTTTTATATGGGTCGAATACTGGTCTATGTACCGTTGAGGGACCATATGAGGAGCGTGTACGTTCTGATAAGCCATATAAATAAAGAAGGGGTTCTTTTGAGCCTTCTTGTCAGAGATCAGATCTACCATCCGCTGAGTGTAAAGCTCCGTGCTGTACTGTCCCTTCAGATCGTATCTCACATCGTCAACGAACTTGCCTTTCTTAGTCCAGTAATCGTCTCTCAGATCATATCCTCCGCCCCTTATGTGGGTGTTGTAGTCCTGACTTCCCAGATAGTACCCAAAGAAGTCATCGAACCCACGATGTGCAGGGGTGTAGGACCATGTGTGCATACCAAGATGCCACTTTCCCACAGCATGAGTTGAGTAGTTATACTCCTTAAGTATCTGAGGGATGATGGTCTCGTCCAGATGAAGACCCCAGGGTTCCCCGGGATGGATGACGCTATGTTGAAATCCTGTGTGTATTGGATACCTGCCTGACATTAGGGCACTTCGAGTTGGAGAACAAATCGGCTGGACGTAGTGCTGTTTTAGGAGCACACCTGTAATTTTACAGCTCGTCAAATCGAGCTATCGTTTTATACATGATGTAAATTTAAACCACTTTTGTTTATCATGATATTATTAGATTTGTTTGAATTTGTTAGAGATTGGATCTGGGGTTGAATGTGCATGTTTTTCTGAGTCCCTACCTTCCTTTGCCAGTTTATCCAAGTTTGGTGTTTTGATTCTCCCTCCAGTAAAACCGACGTCTGCATGTCCCAGGTCATCGCTCAGGATGTAAATGATATTAGGTTGCCTCTCGTCAAATGCTGCAGACTGCACTATCGACAGTGCACAAAGAACAACGAAACAAATCATAGCTTTTGATTATCATTCACCGATGAACAGCAAATCGACTAATGGCACTGTTCTCAAGGAAAATAAAGCGTGATTCGATTATATCTGTTATGGAAACGTCATACCATACCATATTTTCTGCTTATCATGGACGTTGGAACTTTTACTTATCATTTGCCCACCGGTTTAGGTGTTAAATTTCATTCTTTGAAAAATCTAATCAAAGACATAACTGAGCAGAAATCTACAAAGCCCAGTACAAATAAAATCAGCGAACTCATCTCTCAAGTCTCTGTAGAATTTAAATCTAATAGAGATCTCTACTTACAACTGCCTAAATATATTCTATCATTCAGGTGTGTGACGTACGAATTTGGCGGGTTGCCAATTCTTGATAATCATAACAAGTTTGCAATAAACTTTTAAAATATAAATCCGCTTAGCCACAAACATAATATACATATTACTAACTTCTAAGTTTGGCAGCGTTGAGGGTGACTTTGCGTTTAGATCTTGGGTAGCTGGAATCAAGCCTGTTAGGGTTTGGCTGGTTGTGGATAACCACTACAGTCTGTCGTAATCTACCGTACCCGCCCAGATCATCAGTGTCATCAAGTTCGATTGACGGAGGACTGCGAGGAAGAAAGTAATTACGATCAAATGTTTAACAAAAACAATATATCGATCAGTTATCTTTCAGTTCGCGATAGTTTGTTTAAGTAAAACATCAAAATTCGATAAATCTAGAATATGTTAGAGGTATTGTATTGTAAATGTATAATACATTTTCATAGCCACTCCATTCACTTTTTTGCTTCAGGGTCCACAAGTAGGCTATGGAATTGGGCTTCGTTTTTAATTTTAACTACTTTTCAAGTTCACATATTATATAATCCTGTCAAGCCTGACCCCTCTAACATTGCACCTACCTGGAATAATCCTCCACATTGTAACTGACAAGTGCACTAGTATTGTACTCGCTATCCTCCCTCCGCAATACAGCCATACGAGATCCCACTTTAGCGTCTGCTAACCTCTTGGCCCGCGTGGTAGCGTAGTACTTTATACTTGCGCGTGCGTAGTCATTCGGTGTCATCTTCTTTCGAGTCGGATCCGCTGGTACAATAAGCGTTACCAAAGCAGGGTTTAATGATTATAAAATTGATTTCCCTTTGCATTAGCGGCCCCAATTCAAAAAGTTCATGATCCCTTCCCCAATCCTTATGGCTTTTTATAATCTTTGTAGTTTCTTTAACTTTTATGGCTTGAATAACCTCCAGGGATTTATATTTGCCCGTTTTCCAACATTCACATTCCACTGATTACTGAACATAAAGTGTGAGTCCGGTTGGGAGCTTCTAATTAACTAATTGCACTATTCTGGTTCATCCAAGTTATTGGACAAGTTATACAGCTTTAATTTCTAAGGCCTGTGCATATTTATATTGGATAGCTTCGATGGGTTGCGTTGATGCCAATACTTACTTACTTTGCCAAAACAGTACATTTAATTACCTATTTAAATATCAAATTATATGTTAAGTTATCACTTAATCTGCGAATTTCACCTTGGTGATGAGTTTGTTAATCCAAGGAGGACTTATTTAACGATATAATTATAACAGCACCTTTAGCTCGTGCCCTCTGCTTGACTAGCAGATATTTCATAAAAGTTTATTTATTAGTATTAATTCGAATATTTAAAGGATATTTCCTTTTTATTGTCCTTCGCCTACGCTCCCTTTTTTCCTTGTGCGATTTGTTGTTTCCTAGTAATAGTATCATGAGAAGACTGTAGATTTATTGGCATTATTAGCTATTATTGTTTCTACTTCATCAATGGTTCTTAGTTGCACATATAATTCGTATTAAATGGTTCTTTAAGTTAAATAATTAGATGTCGGAGCTACTTCTAATTATCGCAATGTTTATAATGCAAGAATGCCAATTACTTGCAGACGTATTAATTGTACTGGTTAAATGGATGGGGTTTAGTTGCCTGGCAGCTTATTTGAGAGTCTTATAGCTGGTAAAACATGATAACTTCAATTAATGGTTTTCGCGAAATACGAAACTTCAGCGGAGTGCAACTCTGTTATAGTAGCAGTTAACAAAAAATAAAACCAGCGATTGTTCCTTCAAATCAGCAATCAATTGAACTTAAGGCACAACGGCCACGACTATGATATTTTCAACTTGTAATTGTAATCTTTAATCAGTCAAAAAGCATGTTAATTTTTAAACGCTCAGCATGAAATTTTACCAACCATCATGGAAAGCTGAATTACTGAATAACTCATACTTCTATAAAGTTTTATTTGATGAATTAAAACAGGTAAAAGCTGATAATGAAACGCAATAAACGAGCAAAGTATTGCGTTTCAAAACTTTTGGTAAAGAAAACAAATAACTGTATGATAATAGGTTATCAAACTATTAAACTACTCCCCTTCATCATGTTGGTGAGCCATTCCAGAAATAAACTAGGAGATAGATAAATAAGATTCAGCCAACCCAACTTAAAACAGCATAACGGCGATTAAGCTTGATTAGGATCAGCTGCCATTTTACCTTGGGCAGCTATCATTTTCCTCAACTTTGATTCACAGCACACAATCTTCTCGAGGAAGACAAAAATCAGTCTCTTCGACTCCTTCTTGAATCTTGCGCATCGAAAAATGTAGATTAAAGGATTTATTCCGCACCCCAGAAAGTAAGAAATGTTGGCGAACGTCACAAAGTACAACTGCATCTGATCTTCCATGTTGAAGTTGTGAGCTATAATCATAGCAAATTGGATGAGGAAAGGCACCCAACAAAGTACAAAAGCGACCATTATTATGAGGATGGTCCATGCTGAGTTGATTTCACGGTCCCTTTTAGTTCTGACATACTTTGCTTGGAAGGATGAGGGAACTTTCATCTTGAAACAGAAGTGAAGGTTTGCGTGCAGTGCCGTCAGCACTTTGGAGTAGTAATATCCCATGGAGGCAAAAGGTATGACGAAGTTGAGGACAGTGTTGACGACAACCTGAAAAAGGTACCCAGTTAAACATTTTAAGTAATTCTGATATGTCGATGTTTCTTCATCGGTGTAGATTTTTATAAGTAATTCTGATTGTTCGTGCTAATTAAAAGTAAAATAACCCGTGTGGCATGTACTATGTTTCGTTAATTCTCATTTGATATTTCATGTTGCAAAAATCATCGCGAGGGAAATTAACACTTTGACCACATGAAATTATTCCTACACTATTATACAGCGATGAATTACAGGTTCAATAATAACACGACTAATCGAACATAGCCAGGTTTATACAAAGCGTATCTTTAGTCCTAAAATGTAATTAAAGGACCAGTTAACTGAAAAAAAAGTTATCCTCATATTTTGACAGATTGTGACAAATAGCAAACTAAGCAACGAGTCGAAATTCCTAAATCTCTAACTGCTCTCTAACGCGTGTAAATAGCGTTTGTATTATTTTGGCGATGACGTCATAAAGTCCCTCTTGCGCGCAGAGTAGCTCGTGAGACTGTATTTTACAGGTAAAAAATGGACATAATACAATCTTTTCCCCCGAATAACTCGAAAAGTAAGTAATTTAGGGTACATGTTGCTTCATAAGTTGTATATAAACATGGCCATTCTGCACAATTTGCACACATTCAAAAACCTTTAGGGCCTTCATAGCCCAATTAACCAGATACCCATAGTTTTGCATGATTTCTGGAACCGAAAATCAGTTTTTCGCCAATAACTGAAAAAGTAAGCACTTTAAGGCATATGTTTGTTCGTAAGTCATATATTAATATGCTAATTGCGGTTCTTTTGCATCCTGTCTGAAGACTCCATCACGATCATATCGAAAATGGGCTTAGCACCACGCCCAAAATGGTTTTTGGCGAATTTATCGATAAGTAAGGATTTTAGGCCATGTGTTGCTCAATAACTCCTATATAAACATGCATATGCGGCTTCGTTCAAGCCTATTTTGAAGTCTCTACGACCTTCAGAAGCAAGGGGTCGGTTACGTTATTGGGTCAATATGGGCGTGGCCCTCCTGGGTTTTCTCCACGGTCAAAAAAATGTCTCCAAACGAAAATCGTTTAATCATAACTTCGGGAAGGTCTTTGCAAAGTTTCGTGAGTATTAGAACATTTGCAGGTTCATTTCCATAAATGTCCATAAATGACTGGACTACACAACTTTAGAGTTAACTTTAGAGAAGCTCATAAGTCATTTATCTCAAATTAAGCTGTTAGTGTCCATGATCAACCTCTGGCGACAATGTTTTACGTGAAATGTAAAAATCAGGAGTAATATAAAAAAGGTATTTTTAGATTAAAGTGCTAGCTCATAGTTTTAGAATTGTATAGATTAACGTTGGTCATTTAGCCATCTAACAATCGATCGTGCCGTAATATATGGCCAGAGAATAATAGGGTCTTGGAAATTCTATAGTTGTTCAGTGGGTCGATCGACTGAACACGTTTGCACTGGGTATTTAAACTTACCAGTAGTTTATTTATGTTATGCACCGATGATAATGCAATTAGGATAACAACTAGGTAAGCCGGAAGTCTAATTCAAAACACACCTCACACCGTACACACCTCCAATCAGTAATTTTACTATTTGGTAGACCGGGTATTTTGGCGGGAATTCTGTTCCCACGGCACTGTTCTGATAGAAGCTACTTCTACTAATGGTTCCAGAGGAACGGCCGTAAAGTAGCCAGACTTCTTGTCTCCTGTACTGGCAGACACTTGCAGATTAAATTTAGAAATTTCGCTATGCTATAAATATAATTGCTCTCGGAATTGAACAAACTCCTACTTATCTGTATTCTTTCTAAATTCGTTAGAGTTTCATGGACTGGGGAAAAATAATCGGTACAGTCTCCCTGCTTGTGTAATTAAGCAATGAAAACAATCCAAAATTATCACATATGACATAAGTTGTAATAGCAGAAACTTTCTAACCGTACATTCACCCGCCACTGTTCAAGAACCTATATCACTGTTTAAAATCATGACGTGAGCACTGTACATCCAATCAGCTATTCCTTTAGTTAGGATGATAGCCAAAACTATAAGGATTTTGGAGAACTAGGGTAATAGTCATAGTTCTAAAATTTGAGTGAGTTACACGTGTTTTATTGACGATGATAAACATTTGTAATGTAAATTACGCTATGCAAGCGCGCACTGAGGGACTTTATGACGTCACGAGGCCACAGCTTATTATTGCAATAACACGCGTTACACGTACGCTAGAGAGTTGGTTCTTTCGGCGATACGATTCTTTACCAGTTTGTCACAGCTGATTTAAATCTTAGCCAAATTGGAGACTACAAATTTTTCAGTTAACTGGTCCTTTAATATATTGAATATGCCTCATGCGAAATCAGTCTAAACTCTTCTGATCAGCTAAATACTGTTCTCAGTTTGCTTGGTACTCTAGTACAGCAGTTCTTACATCTGTTTAGTTATCTGAATTTGAATTCGATCAGTTTCTAATTATTACAATCTGAATTCTATAATAGTATAATTGAAAAAAGATAACCTCAATAGTTTCTCCGACGTCGGTCCCGAACCACCATTGTTGTATACAGTAACCCGTGTAGTCGTTGTAAACATATGCTCCTACATGAGCTGTGGAGTGTAGTATTTTTTTATGAGAATGAAAATATAGTTTAATGTAGTAAAAAGGTTTGCGTTACCGCTCACGCGTTACCACTCACGCGTCAATTCGCACGTTTTTGGTTGTTGAACATGGCGATTTGTTTAATAAACTTTATTTTTAATGAGCTTTTACCATTATCCCTACAACCCTCAAGCAAGATAAGCTGTATTACTACTTCTGGACTTAAAGATGGCTTAATTAAATACTCAACATTAAGTAGGTACCTAGTAATTAAACGGAAGCATTTAAACTATTCTAAAGAATAACTCAACTTACTTCAACTTGCGGACTACCCTACTATAATTAGTAATTATTTTAGTTTCGTTTGTACTGTCTCTAAATTATAAAGGCTTCTTGTACAACGCCCGAATTGTTTAATGACTTCTCGACAAGCTGATCGTGATCCAGTCGTCTATTTACATTGTTATTAGCATTTCTAATATTTTCAGTTAAAAGCATACTTGTCTATATTAAAACTTCCCTAGCAGAGTTTTTGGGTTCAATAATATTAATAATATTTTATATCATATCGTGATAAAAGTTAAAACTGTCATTTTTGTTTTTCTCCTGTTTCTTTATCCTCCATTTACTTAAAATGTATTCATTTGCTATAACTTAATCGTCGCAAATTTGCTGATAAGCGCATTTCTACAGAATGTTAGAATCTTCGCAGTAGATGACAGGTATAATTAGTTCTGTTTGCAGTTTAGCTTCATATCAGAGGCTTCTAGCAAGGAAGGTTTCTATATCAGTACCACTTCTTAAATATTTACTACTTAAGATAGTCAAAAACTGTACCTGGCATTGCAACAGTAACAAGGGAGTAAATAGTGGAGTAAAACCAAATTGCTGCCACTGTTGTCAAAGCAAACTTCTTGTTTACAATCCTCCTGAAACGGATGCAGTGATTATTTTCTCAGCGTTAAATTTAGTGAAGTTTACAAATTTCGTTTAGTGTAAACCTCGATATTAACATAAATCATGGTACTTGCAATTCAGATAAATGTTAATAGATTTGATTCCAGAAAATAGCCATACGTGGACATGATTTGGTAGAAGACTCAATAAAATTACACATCGTATAATCGACAGTTTTTTAACTGACTTGTAAGACATAGGTCTCTTAACTCCCAGAAATCTCTCGTAGCTGATAGCAGCTATAGTGTAGGTAGAGGAACAGAGTAACATCTGTCTTAGCACTCCCACAATGTTACACATCTCACTCTGATCGTACAAGATCTGGGACAACAGACTGGGTTATGCTTATTAATTCAGTGATATTTTTCCAGAGATAATTTGGTTTGAACGTATTATAGTAGGACCCTGGTCAGATGTTGATTTGAAATGTTTACAAATAAAGCTAGAAATAATAGACTCATTAAACATACGGTATGGTCCCGAAGCTTGAAGAAGGAGGTTACACTGAAGGGCATGACGAAGAGGCCCACCCCTAAATCTGAGGTGGCAAGGTTCACTATTAAAATGTTTGTAGGCACATGCAGGATCATTATCTTTCTCATCGACAGGAGGATCTGGGGATTTAGGAAGATTTCTATTAGAATAATTAAGTATATTATCAGTTACTGAGTGTCAAAGATATTTAAGTTAAACCCCCGAGATGAAGCGAATGATTGTTAAACAGAATTGAAAGGGTAATTTTGACATACCAGAAAATTGCCAAAAATAATCACAGTCAAGACTCCAATTCCAAAAGCAAAGAGTATATAATCCAACCAATCTATCGAATACCTGAAAATGTCATGTTTATTAATATTCGGTATTGTGGACTCACGCATCTAGCATTACAAATTTCGTTGAACCGTTAAAAAAGACTGAAGAAGTGCCTAATGAGCTCGTCGTGGAAAGAAACTTTAATAATTCTGTTCAGTGATAACAAGTTAATCCGGCGATTATTTATAAATATGTTCAATGTTTAGCAACTACCACTCCTATAGATAGGATTGGTAGTTGCTAAACATTGAACCTCCTTTAAATTAAAGTATTACAGTTATTAATCACAATTCGGATTCCTCTACTCACAATGATGCTCGATGAGGGTTCTCTTCGGTGAAAAAATCAGTTACATTTTCTTGTTCCATCCTTCCTGAATCATATTAGCAAAAATCATATATCTATAGTGATGTGTCAAGCATTTTGGATATCATTTTCGGGCAAAATTCGGACCTTTACTGATAGTTGAAATTCGACATATGACGTCATCTAGCGTCATCTAGCGTCATCTAGCGTGAAATATCGCCAGATGATGATAGATGACGCTAGATGACGCTAGATGACGCTAGATGACGCCAATTAGCGACATTGCCGCTAAGTGCACGGCACCTTTCGAATGTCGCTATCTAGCGCTATCTAGCGCTATCTAGCGCTATCTAGCGCTATATGACGCTATATGACGCTAGATGACGCTAGATGACGCTAGATGACGCTAGATGACGCTAAGCACGCAGCACTGACGCCAGGCGACAGATAGCGCTATTTTCATAAAAATTCTAGGGACGACATCTAGCGTCATCTAGCGTCATATGTTGCCGCGACATCTGACGCTATCTGACGCCATCTAGTGATATCTGACGTCATCTGACGACATCTGTCGCGACGACATCTGACGCAGGCGACATCAAGCGCTGGATAGCGGGATAAGTCAGTTAACGACAGTTAACGACAGTTCACGCTATCTAGCGCTATATAGCGCCAGATAGCGCTATATAGCGTCAGATGTCGTTGCGACATATAGCGCTATCTAGCGCTATCTAGCGCTATCTAGCGTAAACTGTCACAAACCGACATTCTCCGCTAGATAGCGCCAGATAGCGCTAGATAGCGCTAGATAGCGCTGCGTCAGATGTCGTTGCGACATATAGCGTTAGATAGCGCTAGATACCGCTAGATGTCGCAAAAAAAAGGGCGGAAATTTTATGAAAATAGCGCCTGGCGTCAGTGCTGCGTGCTTAGCGTCATCTAGCGTCATCTAGCGTCATCTAGCGTCATCTAGCGTCATATAGCGTCATATAGCGCTAGATAGCGCTAGATAGCGCTAGATAGCGCTAGATAGCGACATTCGAAAGGTGCCGTGCACTTAGCGACAATGTCGCTAATTGGCGTCATCTAGCGTCATCTAGCGTCATCTAGCGTCATCTATCATCATCTGGCGATATTTCACGCTAGATGACGCTAGATGACGCTAGATGACGTCATATGTCGAATTTCAACTATCAGTAAAGGTCCCAAAATTCATTTGAATTACAGTCTCATAACTCCACAACAACGACAGAACGATCGACAAAATAATGGAGTAAAATAGTAAGATACGAATAATGAATCATTCTCTTCTCGTTTAACAATGGTACCTTTTTAGTATATGTGAAGAGCTGAGAGGCACTCAATGCGTGCGAATTATTATGCCTTATATACATATTCATTATTCAACGTAACTCATAAAAATTCTACAAAGTTTGGACCTATATCTTTATAATATGTTCGTGACGCACAATCATTTGTTTTTGAGAAGGCGAGAATTATTTTTAGGTCAACTTCCCTCCAACTAAAATATCAAAAATATCAAAATGGTGATATAAAGAATAATACCGAATTGAGAATCCATGCCACAATGAAACTAGAAGCACGATCTTCGATTCATTCATCTTTGCAAGGATTCCATTGTAGTAACGCACACCTTATCGGTTATAATTATTAGAGACCGAATCCTTTTCATTACACGAAATTTCAAGATTATGGCCCACGTATTTTTGTAGAATGAATTAAAATCTTTCAAGTCATCTATCGTACTCTGTGGTGAAAGAATACGCATACGTTTTGGTCCAATGAACTGTTCAAGAAATGCAAGTTAAGTCGCATGAATGAATTATTACGAAGGTCGCTACAGAGAATTCTATGAGTAGATATTTTCCGGATCCCAAATATTCCGGTCTTTATTATCACAGACCACACTTTTATACGCGTTTCCAGTTCAACCGTGTCACAGACCACACAGACCACACTGTTATACGCGTTTCCAGTTCAACCGTGTCACAGACCACACAGACCACACTGTTATACGCGTTTCCAGTTCAACCGTGTCACAGACCACACTGTTATACGCGTTTCCAGTTCAACCGTGTCAGGCCAGCGAAAATTATTTCCGACAGATTGTATTTCCTAACCAATATTTTAACCGGATTTTTTTTACGAAGCTCGAACCATGAGAATTATGAAACTAATATTAAGCATGCCAATTTATGCAAAGCAAATAACTTAAAATAGCCCTATTAACTTCTGCAAATAATACGCATGAAATACAGGAAATGAGGACCTTGTTACAGACTATTTGTTTTTATAACGTCAACAAACAGGTATCACCTTGCGACAAACAGGTATCACCTTGCTACTAGTTATAGTGTATAATATACTAATAGACGTGTGCGTGTTTATTGTAGCTTATCGTATAAAAATTGTTTGTTGACTGGACTACTAGGGTTAATGGTACTGGTGTGTTTATAACGAATGTTTTTAGCGTTTAGGGTGAGGCCACATAAACTGTTATTACGGTTTCCTGCCAATATAATGGTCTGCTTCCAGGGTCTGCTTCCAGGTCAGATAATGAGTCAGAGTGGCGGTGTTTGTGTTGCTGTCGGAGCTGTGGAAGTGTAGGAATTAGCGTACATTTTAGGTTTCAGTTGGTCTAAATATCCTTCATCGTTATAAGTTATTATAATATAACGCCAAACAGTAGATTAGAGATAAATTGTTCAAATATGTGCATTACTATATTACTATAATCGTAAAATAATGTAATCGTGTAATCTGGCAAACTACTTAAAGTAGAATGTTAAAATGTTAGAGTGCAGGGTACAGAGTGCAGACGTCCGTATAGGATTCGAAAAACCTGTAGTTTTTCCATCCTGTATAGCTGTAGTACGGAGAAGAAACGTAGTACGATCTTCGGGTAATGAATGTTACTTTGACTAAAATCAGGATCAATGTATGTAGTCCAACACTCATTTTCAGTTAAAAGCGTTTGGTACCTTAGCCGGCTCTCACTCACTTTCCTTGGGTGTTGGGGTTTGTCAACAATACCAACAGCGTAACACTCAATGCGAGTATTTAAGACGTAATTTAACAACTATTCCAGTTTATTTATTCCAAATTCGTCTTCATATCTCATTATTACTACCAGATATTTCGATATATTCGTCAAAATAGGATTGGGCGACTCTTGTCCGGCAGCAACTCTTGTTCAGATCCGAAATTAGTTTTTTTTTCGGACAATAGTTGCTGTCAGACCCTACTATAGTACTATACGATTTTCTTGAACTTTTCCAGATAGTACGATGGTTATATTTATTTATATTCTATGTGCCAAATCTGAGATATCACTTCAAACACAAGAAAATAGTGCTGTCGGACAAGAGTCACTGTCGGACAAAAGTCGTGTTACCTCAAAATAGATATGAAAAAATTCGAGAGGGTCGCAGTTAATGACTTGAAGCAGGAAAGTCAATTTGAATGTCAAAATATGGAAATTGACAACCGTCAAACTATATCTAGTATTGATTACATTGACGGGCATCAATAGATGATTTCAAGGTTCCAATAGTAAGAGTTTGATAAGCTATTTAATAATAAATTTGAGTGACCATTTAGTTCATAGATACACTGCTAAGTTAACATGAAGCCATAATCGTTAAAGTTTAACACTTAAAGCCAGTATCAGTAATTTGTATAGTAAAGAAATGATTCGATTCTAACTTATACGCGTGACCTTCAATTCGGTTTACACGCATACCATTCGTGGGATGATCGAAAATGAAATTAGCCAATCACCTTCATTCATGCTAATTTTTGTTGCTGCAAATGAGGGTGTTCACAAATCTCGATCAAATTTCATCTAAATCCAATACAGAAAATGAAAAAAAGTGGTTGAGAAAGATCCGACTTGAGAATTATTTTGAGCGAATCAACATCTAGATCTTTCAAATCGAAGAAAAGTTTATTGGATTGGATAAGAGTTTCATTTGGAAGCTATAAGATCCCCTTTGCCATTCCAATCATGTAGAGTCACTATAGAACAGTTTTTGTAGACGGCTGATGAGGGTCATGAACAGTTGAAATGACAATGTTAGAACGAGTGGAGTACAAACCTAAAATGCAGTATTCATGCAACTGTTAATAGTTGATGGTGGCACGCAGTTTAGCTATAATATTGACACATGAGTAATGGGATTTCTATAGTCCCTGCTCTCGTGTGGAACATAAACGTGATTTCAGAGGACAACACCGGTCCAGCTGATTCATGGGCACCCAATGAAGTTTCCTTTGAAAGTTTCTACATATGTCTATAGGAGTCTTCGTTCGATGGTCTTTGATCTTGCAACAATGATTGCTGTAGTTATAAACCACATGAAGCACGGTCAGCTCCCTCCAATAAACAGTAACCTTGCAGACGTACCACGGCTATTAAATAACGTATATAAAACGGACGCCCCCGGCTGATTACATTGGGGCTATTGAGTCGTAAACTATTTCTCCAGCTCCCAACTTACAATCATGATCACCAGCCAGCCATAAGTATAATAGTATTATTATATAGTATTCCATGGTACGAAAAGACAGTTTTCAAAATTCATCGCGACTGTCAACTCAAGGCTAGCAGAACTTGGCCTCCACATTGATGAGAACATCATAGAAGATAACAATGTTTATGTGTCGTTCTTAGACATCAAATTTTGTTTCGACACCGCAGGTGATCTTCAGACAGACCTCCATGTTAAAGAGACTGATGCCCGCTCCTACCTGTACTTCGGTTCCCACCACCCGAACCATACATTCAGCAGCATAGTCTATAGTGCATGCCTGAGACTCCGGCGAATCATCAATGATAACGACAGACTCCGAAAACAAATTGATGAATTAAAAACCTTTTTCTTCCAATCCAACTACCCTAAAACTATGGTAGATAACATCAGTGAAAAGGTCAAAGGCTTTGAAAGATGTCTCAAACCACTGGACAACTCAAACAGCAATGTCCTGGTACCAAAGTCTCCAGAACCAGCAGTCCGCGTTATTTCAACATATGGCAGTGATC